TAAATTTAAGAATGGACAAGACCTCAGAGAGCTTCTATCTGTTCCTATCACAATAAGCAGAGAGAAATTCCTTTAAAACAAATCATATCAAGCCCTCCTCTCACCAATTTCACTCTCACTGCCCAACCCCAATTTGCACCCCCCATCCCCCACTTCCCAGGTATGATTGCTCTTCTCACAGATCTGCCTGTCGTTGATTGCCCCACAGCCTGAAGGAAGTTCCTCCCTGGCCAGGATATTTAACATTGTGAGTTCCACCCCCAGCACACTAAACTCTTTCCCTTTGGTTTCTCCCATCCCTTCTTACTTTCTATTTCATTTTATAATTTACCTACTAATGTTATTTATTGTCTGTCTCCCTCCACTCTAATGTAAATTCCATGAAGCAGGGCAGGGAATTTTCCCCCTAAGATTTTATTATGACAATTCTCAAGCATACAGAAATGTTGGAAGAATTTTACAATGAATTTAGATTTTACAGTTAATATTGTACTGTATTTGCTTTATTACATACTATTCATCCCTCTATTCAGCCATTAACCCATCTTATTTTTTATACTAGAGGCCTGGTGCACGAAATTTGTGCATGGATAGGGTTCCTAGGCCTAGCCAGCAATCAGGGCCAATCGGTGCCTTCCGGCTGCCAGTGGGGGCCTCCCTTCCCCGGCTGCCAGCTGGGGCCTTCCTTCATTCCATGCTGCCCACTGGTGGTCAACGCACATCATAGTGAGCGATCCGTCTCCTGGTAGAACTCCTGTGGGGAAAATTTGCATATTAGGCTTTTATATAGAGAAATATTTTAAAGTTGCAGGCATCAATGTATTTCCCTTTAGTATTTCAGCATGTATGTCACTAACCAGAGTTAAATACTTGTTTCTCTTTTTTTCTCTGAGGTAAAATTTACATGGTTTTGACTAATGTATTCACAAATCTTTATGAAGATAAAGGTTTACCACGACCAAGAAAGTTCTCTTAATGTTTCTTTCTCACACGGTTGCCAAATACAGAATGCTCAGTTAAATTTGAATTTTAGTAAAACAATTAATATATTTTTAGCATAATGTCTCATATATTACATAGGACAGTGATGGCGAACCTTTTGAGCTCGGCGTGTCAGCATTTTGAAAAACCCTAACTTAACTCTGGTGCCGTGTCACATATAGAAATTTTTTGATATTTGCAACCATAGTAAAACAAAGACTTATATTTTTGATATTAATTTTATCTATTTAAATGCCATTTAACAAAGAAAAATCAACCAAAAAAATGAGTTCGCGTGTCACCTCTGACATGCGTGTCATAGGTTCGCCATCACTGACATAGGATATACTTATACTAAAAAAACTCTGTTCATCTGAAATTCAAACTCAACTGGAAATCCTGTATTTGATCTGGCAACCCTACTTTCCAGGAATTTCTTTCCCCAACTCCACAGAGGCAACCATTGTTCAATTTTTTTTCCCATCAGAAATTTTACGTGTTTTAGGACTTCATAATGTATATTTTCTTCTGTGTAGCTTTTTTCCCCACTCAGCATAATATAAATATGATAAATTCATATGATAAATTTCCTGATATATAAAATTCACATATCATTGCATATATCATGAGTTTGTGTCTTTTTACTGTGGAATAGCATTCCATAATATAGGTGTAATACTGTTTGTTCATTTATTCTCCACCTTGGGCTTTTTCCAGTTTCTGTCTATTATGAATGAGCTGTTACACACCAAAGCATTCTTAGAAACATGCAGTGGCTGCCATTGACACTAGTTCTAAGTAGAAGCTCCTTAAAATACCTCACAGGCACTATATAACTTAGCTTTTCTTACCTCTTCCTTGGTCTCACCTCTTGCCACTCTAATTTTCTTGCCCTTTCTATTCTCCAGCCTTATTCCTTCCAATACCCTGAAACTTCCATGCCACGCCCCTGTTAGCCTTTTGCATGCAATCCCTGCAGTTGGAACACTGTTTCTTTCTACTGGTTGCCTGGCACGTTTTGCTCATGTTCCTCTATTTATTACAGTGTTTCTCTAGCCATGGTTCTTAATATCTCTGGGCCTGTACTTATAACCCCTCTATGGCAACAGTGAACAATAGTTCCTTTTTTTCACGGGGTTATTATGACAAATAAATAAATGAACATTTTAAAAGCACTTACCATGGCACCACCATAAGTGCTCAGTCAATGTTTGAATTGGAAGCTTATGCTGTATGTATATTGCATGCTAAAGAACAGGGAATGATTGAAGGTAACAGCAGCAGAGGCGGGGATGAATTAAGGGGGCCAAGCAAGCCAGAGGGGAAAGACCAGATCAGAGTTTATAGGAATAGTCCACGAACTACACTCAGTGGGAGCTGAGTTAATGGCAGTAGGGATTGAAGACGGGAGACGGATTCAGAAGATCTAGAGACAGAACTGACAGAGTGAATGTCAATGAAAAGGAAAAGGTGGTGACGTAGATGTCCCTGAGATTTCTGTCTCAGGTGTCTCTAAGAATGTTGGTGCCAAGTAATGAGGTTAAGGAATTCAGGAGGAGGTGATGGATTTGTTGAAAAATAAGTTTGATTTAAGACATGGTAAATTAAGGATGCTAACTGAACATTGCTAGAAATGTCCAGCAGACCATCGAAAAGGAAAATATAATCAAAGGTATGGGTATTTTGGGTGATATTTGTACTTATTTTTTTTATTGTTGACAATTTTACAGATGCCCCCACCCCTTTTGCACTCCTCCCAGCCCCTGCCCCACACCAGGAAGGCATGGATTTTGATTGATCAGGAATGAATTATTATATCTTTCTTCCTTTTCCACTTCCTCCTCCTCCTCCTCCTCCTCCTCCTCCTCCTCCTCCTCCTCCTCCTCCTCCTCCTCCTCCTCCTCCTCTTCTTCTTCTTCTTCTTCTTCTTCTTCTTCTTCTTCTCTCTTTCTCTCTCTCTCTCTCTCTCTCTCTCTCTCTCTCTCTCTCTCTCTCTCTCTCTCCTTAACCATGTCCTTTAAAATGCCTTCAATCATTGTAAGAGAAGCATTTGAATGTACAAGTAATTCTTTTCCCTACGCTTTTTTATTTTTTTGCTTCACTACAGCCATCTCTGTTATGAGTCAAAATAAGTCACAGAATATAGAATAACATTGGAAAGAAAAAAAATGGTAAAGAAGCAGACTGGAAGGGCTCTGTAATCTAAAGAAAGCAAAGCATGTCAAAGCACTGGGAGCACAGGACATGGCTCCCTCTGCTCGACTGGCTGGCCTGTCAGGAGTAAACCATGAGCTGCACTGTTCAGGACCGTAACTGACCTGCCTAGGCGCATTCCCATGGAGAGGTCGTGGTATTTCTGAACAGTATCGAGCAGATTTTGGCTCAATAATTGGGAAACATGTTCTAATAATTAGAATGTCTGGATATTAGAATGGGCTCTTTTGCTAAGCCTGTTAATTTCAGTCGATGGAAGAAATAAAACAGAGGTTCCATTCAGGACAGTGCCAACCTATGTAAAATTGGAAAAGGTACCGATTAAGAAAAGGTACTCTATCTAGTGGACGACTTGCTAAAATGTTTCCTCCCTGTGGGTGTATCCCCATGCCAGTTCCGTGGCTTCTGAGCAGAACGTGGCCCTTGTGGCCTCGGCTCTCCTCCTCAGATGGGAACCTTGTGCAGTGTCCTTTTGCTAGAAATGCTGTCCATCAGCTTCCTGAAGTAAGCATGGACTTGGAGTTGATGCCCTCCAAGGTTTCTGAGTCTGTATTTCCAAATGCAACTTGTAGATGAATCAGCATTTTAGGTGTCCCAGTCTTGACACAGATCATGTTCAAAGAAGCATAAGGTTACATTCAAAAGTAATGTGAGAAGGTAGAAAAGGGTAAAGGGGTCAACTGTTTGGCGACAGAAGATGATTTGACTTTGAGTGTTGGCCACACAATGCGCTATCCAGATCATGTCTCATGGAAATGTACACTTGAAGCCTATATAGTCTTATTAACCACTCTCGCCTCAATAAATTTAATAAAAAAGTAATGTGATAAGAATATCAATCTTTACTGGTGTCTCTCAAAAACCATTAAATGTGATCCAATTTATAAACGGAATAATATTTCTTTTTTTAAAGATTTTTAAAAATGGATTTTAGAGAAAGAGGAAGGGGGAGAGAGAGAGAGGAAAATGTAATACCCATGTGAGAGTGAAACATCCATTAGCTGCCTCCTACATGCCACCCCACCCCCCAACCAGGAGTTGGTCCCGCAACCCGGGCATGTTCCCTGTCCAGGAATCAAACCAGCAACATTTTGGTGCATGGGATGACACCCAACCAACAGAGCCCCATTGGCCAGGGCTGAACAATATTTCTTTAAAGACTCTTTCCTCATTTGAGCCTGGCTCAGTTATCTCATACTTCATAATTGCTCCAGAGGCTCTTACATGCCAACCTCTAAAACTCTCTAAAACCCCAGCCCAGGAGGTTTCTCTCTCAGTTTTGTCTCCTCCCTTTCTCTTGCATTCACTATCTAGTTTCTCCTCTTTCCGTTATCCATATTCTCTAATAGTAGCAAAAGGAATTGTGTTGAAAAGCGATAGACCTTTCCCTACATGGTGATTGAATGGGGAGGAGTCCTTATTTTCCCCATTACTATCTCTAACTGTTTTTCTCTCTCCACCTAGTCTCCTGTTCCTCTAACAGCATAGCCTGGAGCCAGGCTGAAATAGACTAAATAATTCTTGGGTACTTTCAGGAGTAGGGACATTCATGTGTTAATTCTTATTGAGTGAATCCTACGTCTGCAGAACCTTCTATTAGGTCCTAGGAAAGTGGCAAAGCGAGTTATGTGAATAATCTCTCCTCACAAGGAATTTACAATCTCACCAGCGTGACTGGCTAAAATCACATGAAGTAGATTCCAAGGAAGAAAACCAACAGACAGTGAGAAGGAGCGCAGCTGTACACCCAGGAATAGCTTAAGGGCTACCTGGATGTTGGGTTTGCAGCAAGAAGAGAACTGTGGGGAAATCAGAAGTTTCATGGAAGAGGTAAGGATTGGATAAATGTTTAGCACAAGGAGAAATACCAGGGAGCTAGGGAAATTGCTGTAGTGTTATGCTGGAGGGCCAGTATGCAGCAGAGGGTGAGTCTAATTATCTGCTGGAACAGAGGGTCTATGCGGTGTGCGAAGGCTTTTTCTCAGTGGGACCGTAATTGTCCCTCCTCTGAGCTTCCATAGCTTTACTGTGTGACTTGATTATTTATTTATCCCATTCTGCCTTGAGTGAGTTATACATTTTCCTATTTCCTTAATTAAATAACTCCTAGACAATAAAGACAATATATATCCCCTCTTTCAGATAACTTCACACAGAGTCTAACAGTATGTGGTTTTCAATCAATAATTACTGGGTTAAATAGAGTTGATGGGAAGCTAATCAGAGGGGTATAAGGGAGGGGAGAGAGGTCTCATGCTTGAGTTTAAGTTTGATATTGAACACTGAATGATCAAACATGTTAGAGTTGTAATCAAAATAATATTTGAGAAAGAGGAATTTTTCTGTACTTTCACATGGTAGGTCAAAGATAAGTTTGTGCTTTTTTATTATTTATATAGGTGTTGCCTAGACATTTGGGAACAGATTTCTCATATAGATGATACATAGTATTGAACTTTAATCTAAATTTAGCCATTGAAACTTTTGCATACATATTCTTTAGTCTTTTTGAATTTTATGGGCTGGGTCAAAGATTCTCTGATCATCTTATGGGTGTGAATAAATTTCTTCACAAAGGTTTTTTAGTATTGCTGATTATAAGTAGGAGTGATACCATGCTTTGGAGTAGGATTTTGGCATGCTTTAAATAATGTGTGAAGTACATGAAATTGCAAAAAAAACCACAACAAAACAAAACCAAAAAAAAACCCCAAAAAACAAAAAAACCCTGGAAATGGAATTCCAGATTTACACTTAAAAGATTTTAAGGAAAGATTTATTCAAAATTTTTAGGAGTCTTTTGATTGAGAAACTACAAAAGTATTTTATCAAGTTAATTTCTGCTCCCTCCTGGTCTTAGTACGTTTTAGCACAATTGCTGGCACTGTTTAGGTACTTCAGTACAGACTCCTTTTGAATTCTAATAATCCTGATTACATGAATTCTTTGTTACTAACATGGAACACAGAGTTTAAAAAATGAATTTAAATTATTACATTTAAACAAATCATTGCTGTTGATCAGTGACTTCAGTCAAGCTTTCAAATCTTCTTATTTTGTCAGCATAGATTTGAATTTATGACCTAGATATGTTTTGAAAAAATCTTTATTGTGAATTTGGATTATAAAAATAATATATACTCAATATACTCAATAATATATACTTAATATAGCTTCTGAAATTATTTGCTTATATATTGAATGAAGTATACTAGTATAATACAAATGTAAGTATTGCTGTTAGTGAATGAATGAATATTTTCAGTCTCCCAGGAACTAAAAATGATAAGGACATTACCTCTTATGTTTCTGAATTTTGTAGAGCTGAAAACATATACTAGTACTTCCCAAAGAGGTAAGTCAGAATTCTCTGATTTTATTTTGCAGGACTGAGCCCTCTGGAAATTTTATCTTTTTGCATAGCTTATAGGGAGGGAGCAGCTAGCTGAATGCTTCCTGTTTTCATTAACGTGACCCAGCCTACTTACAACACATGCCCAGAACTGCATTAGTCATGGGATTGGAGCCAAACATTTAAGACTGCAGAGCATATACGAGAATTTACTGGTGAGAGAGCTCTAGACCAACTTTACACTAAACTCATTTCTTTTCCAAGATTGGAAAAATATTATCCTAACATGAACCATTACCCCATCTCATTCAGATAAGGTTTCAAGGTTTTAATCTATATTTTTTATCTAGAATGATTAGCTGCACCATAATAATACATACAGCCCAGCCGCATATATTTAAGTGCACCTGCTAATCTCTCTACCTGCCTCTCTCTTTTATTGGTTTATATTTTGGATAGCTTTGACATTGAAAACCACGGAAGAATTGGAGCCTTGCATTGAAAGGAGTTGTTCTGCAGCACTTTTTTTCTTGTCTAAAGTTTACTTCTGCAAGAGAACATCTGAAAAATGACAGGGGCAAAGAGGAAAAAGAAAAGTGTGCTCTGGAGCAAGGTGAAGGCTCCCCATTGTGAGGGCTTTAAACAGTGGTGTAGAAGACGGCTACCGATTTTGGAATGGGCATTACATTACAATCTGAAAGAAAACTTACTTCCAGATACTGTGTCTGGGATCATGTTGGCAGTTCAACAGGTGACACAAGGTAATGTGTTGCATTTGATTTTCCTGTTTTACGCAGAATAGTGGTCACTTTGTTTTAGTGGAAGAGTATTATGACCTCAGATTTACAATTTAGCTAATGCAATGAATTTTTAATTAATTTGAGGAAAATAAACACATTGAATACTTATATACTGAATATCTGAATAAATATATAGAGAATCCTGTATGCCCTTAGAGCTTATTTTGTGCTGGGGCTGACAAGCAGACTCTGAGCAATGGATGAATGATTACTCTGACACATGATTGCTGTGAAAGAGAGGGCTAAGGGACTGCCTGGCTATAGGAACCAGACAGCCTCGTTTGCCTGCCTCTTCAGGCTTTTATGGTAACAGCACTTTGAGCTAAAGTTTAACTTTTAGATAAAATCAGGATAAGCATTCTTGGGAGGACATATGCGTCTGCAGTGGCCTTTAAGCAAGGATGTCTAAAGATTAAGCATAAAGATTCCGGTAAACACCCGAGGGTCCGCACACACACAGACTTGTTTGGAAAGGTTAAGGAAAATTACACCTAGGTTGTAATTTTCTCCTTACAAACTTTCCAACTAAGTCTCCTGTGCTCCCCCACAATATTGATTGTACATGCCAATTTAATTCTGTATCACACCAGAACACCAGAAAGATGTTATCAGACAGCCCCTGGGTCAGATGGGACTCTTGTCAATCTTGCAGGAAAGATTTCAAATGAGTGACACTGGACAGCAGTGTTGTAGCAAGCAAATTTATTAAGGAAGCAAAGCAAGCAAATTTGTTAAAATTATACTTGGCATGAAACATAAGTGGGCACCCAGCTAATCTGAGTGCATGCCTGGTGGGGGTTCAAGGGATTTTATAACCTTCAGTCTACAGATACAGATTTCAGGGTTCCTCTGCTGGATATCTTGGGCACAGACTAGATTTCAAGGTCCCCCTTTTGCTTTGTGGTAGCTTTCCCAGGATTTATGAGATCACCTGGCAAGTCCCAAGACTGCTTACCTTTGTTCAGTGAGTGAGATAAAATGCCCCTTTTTTTCCTTCTCCCTCCCCCCGCCCCTGCCTTAGCAGTTCCGGGGTGATTTAAGCTATGTATTGTCTGGTTAGGGAGGAGAGGTGTCCTTAGTTGGGGAAGATAAGGTCTTGTGATTCACAAGCTGGCTGCAAGCTGCCCAAACTGGCTGCAAGCTGCCCAAACTGGCCTTGTTTAATTTTCTCATCTCAGTTTCCCTATTCCACTTGCCTAAGAATTTTCCTCGCTTCTTACTATCCTGTCACAACGTTATGCATTGTATTTATTTCTCAATAAGAAATTTAAACTGGTGGGAAGTCTTATTTTAATTTTCCCAAGGAAGATTCTAAATGACCTTCTGGATTTAGATAGGTGTTTCTCTTGGTGAAAGTTTTTAGTTGCGTGTGTGTGTGTGTGTGTGTGTGTGTGTGTGTGTGTGTTCCTTAAAGGTATGCTCATTGTATTTCTTTAACTAATTAAGGTAATAATTTACTAACTGTAGCAAGAAAGGAACTAAATTTTCAGCCTTGAGAATTTGGAACACTCCTCAGAACAGACTTTGTAGATTTATATTTCCTTGCATTTTCACTACCTCCCTGCCTTGAACTATTATCCCTACCATTACATTATATGCACTCGTTTAATTGAATTATTTAGTAGTTGAAACAAACTTGTTTGTGTATTTGTGTTTTTAATGTGATTAGAAACTGATGCTTTAAGATCCATAATACCACATTTTATGGGATTACATTTTTCTGAATAGTCTTATATTACATTTTTAATGACAATTTTGTCAACAGCAAAACATAGTAATATTTCATAAAAGTTCAAAATAGAGTTATTTCCAGTCTTGATTTTAGTCAGTTTTATTCAAAGGAGACACTATCACGTACTTTGAAACTTAGGTGATTAATTTACAAGGGCTTTTTCATAGTTCCAGTATACATTATAAATTTATTTTGCTTTAACTTAATGTGAAATGAAAGACATATTTAAAACCAATTTGTTTTTTCACTTTTGTAAAATATCAGGTTAATAAAGAAATTTGGGGATATAATAAAATACCTGTGGTATGTCATTAGTGAGAGCATTTATGTGTAAGTTAATTGTATGGCTTCTATAGATTTTGAGAAATTTTGTTTATGATTTATGTATTTAATTAGTTATGAGGAAAAACTGGCCAGCTCCCAATTGATGAAAAGCACAAAGTTTATTCAGTCTTTGTGTCTCCTAAAGTTATGGATCTGGTACTGTTTCTCTTGGAAGTCTACCAGTGATTGGATAAGTCTACACCACTAGAGAGAACTTAAATGTTTTTGTTGGTGCAATGAAAGACACATTCTTCTAAAATTACCTCTTCTTTTAAAAACAATCCTTTCAAAGTTGCTCATGCTTACCCACTATGGAGATAAGAAAAGTGAAATATCATGACATTGCTGTAAGGAGTATTGTACTAAGCTCTGTATATACATTATCTTCTCCTATCCTAACAAAATCCCAAGAGACAGCTGTCTCTTCTCCATTTTCCACATACAAAAATGGAGGCTTAGAAAATTAAATAATTTTTCCTGGTCCTCATGCCTAATAACTGTTAGAGTTAGGACTAAATTACAAAGTCAACACTTTATAGTTTATATTTTATACTCTATACTTCCAAAATAACTAGACATTTACAATACCAATCTATAATAATAGAAGCATAATATGCTAATTAGACCAGACATCCTTCTGGACGAAGCCAGGGCTATGAGGGAAGTTCGGGTCCTGGGTGCCTGCCGGTGGCCCGAGGGAAGCCCAGGTCCCAGGTACCAGAGGGAAGCTGGTGCCGGCAGCCAGGGGAAGGAAGGCCTATTCTTGCACGAATTTCATGCATCGGGCCTCTAGTGTTATTAATAATAGAAGACATTTCTTTAGGAAGGTTCAAATATTCTCCTCTTCAAATTACTTTTCCATTTAGCTATCATCCCTGCACCTTTTAGACTCAAAAGGTGAAGATACAAGGAAAATACTGCAACAAAATATAAAGTAAAGAAGGCATTTATATATTATTACCTCTCGTTTGTGTGAATACAATATTGGCAATCATAGGCTCCTTTTCTTCAAGGACTTAGAAGAAAGAAGGGGTAATTTTTTGTTCTTGCCTCACAACAAACAATAGAAATGAATACCTATTTTCACTCTACTGAATGTATTTTGAAGATGAGCAAACATTCTAGAGAAGGTCATTGACTTAAAACATGCCACCAACATGGATGGCAAGCTAAGCAGTATAAGACTCTGGTCTAGAGAGTATTTAGTTCACATTCTAGCCAGGGTGACCACTTGGGGGGAAATAGTTTCTGTGTTTCTAACCTGAAAACTCAAGCATTGAGACAGAGTGGAGGCCTACAATGCATGACTTGCCATATAAGAACCTAATCCACTGAGGAGCAATATGAGGATGTTTAAGCTTGTAATTCTAAGGGATCACCTAGAATTCTGTTCCTACACCATGAAAATTTTATGCTGCCTTAGAAGGGAAAAGATGGATGTTCTTATAATTCTGCCGAATGTGTGGCATTACTGGCACAGAAACATATGTGTGGAAGCGGAGCTTCATTGCACTCCTGAGGGCAGCTTAATGACATGGTGAACAATAAGTGGGAACTCCTGAAGCATATTAGATTGTAAAAGTTAAAGGGTTTTCTTTATACATTTTGGATATTAACCCTTTCTCAGATATGTCATTGGCAAATATCTTCTCCCATTTGGTAGGATGTGTTTTTGTTTTGTTGATGGTTTCCTTCACTGTGCAAACTTTAGATTGATGTGGTCCCATGGATTTATTTTTTTTCTTCTGTTTTCCTTGCCTAGGGAGACACATAAAAAAAATATCAGTAAAAGCAATGTCAAAAAATTTATTGCCTATTTTTTTTCTAGGAGTTTTATGGTTTCAAGTCTTACATTTACATTTTTAATTTATTTTGAATGTATTTTTGTATATGATTTAAGACAGTGGTCTAGTTTCATTTTTGTATGTAACTGTATAGTTTTCACAGCACCATTTATTGAAGAGACTATCTTTACCACATTGTATATACTTACCTCCTCTGTTATAGATTGGTTGATCATTTAGGCATGGGGTTTTTCTGGACTTTCTACTCTATTTCATTGATGTATGTGTCTGTTTTTATGCCAGCACCATGCTGTTTTTAATACTACTGCCTTGTAGTATAGTTTGATATCAAGTAGCATAATACCTCCAACTTTGTTCTTCTTTCTCATGATTGCTTTGGCGATTGGGGGTCTTTTGTGATTCTATATACATTTTAGGACTATTTATTCTAGTTCTGTGAAAAATGCATTGGTACTTTAATAGCAATTGCACTGAATCTAGATTGCTTTGAGTAATATAAACATTTTAACAATGTTTATTCTTCGTATCCACGAGCATGGTATATGCTTCCTTTTATTTGTATCTTCTTTAATTTCTTTCTTCAATGTTGTATAGTTTTCCAAGTGCAGGTCTTTCACCACCTTGGAATAAATAATAAAATACATAATAAATACCTATGAACACACACCCATTTATTCATAATGCCTGTGATTTAATTGTAAATGGGATTATTTACTTAATTTCTCTTTCTTATACTTTCCTCAAAGAAACTACAGTGCCTTCCAGCACCCTCAATAGAGTTTTCCCAACCCATGACTCTCTAGCTCTTGCCCTGAGGTTAGTCATTTTAGTTTCTTTCTGTCTGTTCCTGGAGCCATTTGCACTGCTACCCCTATGCTAAAGTTTAGAGCAGTGGTTCTCAACCTTCTGGCCCTTTAAATAAAGTTCCTCATGTTGTGACTCAACCCTAAAATTATTTTCGTTGCTACTTCATAACTGTAATGTTGCTACTGTTATGAATCGTCATGTAAATATCTGATATGCTGGATGGTCTTAGGCGACCCCTGTGAAAGGGTCGTTCGACTGCCAAGGGGGTCGCGACCCACAGGGTGAGAACCGCTGGTTTAGAGTGATTGAGTTTTTGAGCAAGTCAGTATGTGCATGGTCCCTTTAAGACCTGCAGTGCCTTCATCTATAGGAGCCCTTTGTATTTGACTGACGTCCACTGGTTTTTACAGCCAGGTGTTATGGGGACTCCTCTTCCTGGCATTGATGCCCCGAATTGGGGAGCCTGATGTGGGATGGGGACCCCACGTTTCTCAGGGAGGACCTCTGCATCTGTGATATACTCTCAGTCCTTATTTTCCACACGAGGGATGTGGGACCTGCCTGTTCTGCCTCTCCCCCCATCTTGAGGTCCTGATGTTGCTTTTTTTATATCCTTTATTATAGGAATTCCCCTCTGCTAGTCTTCAGCTAGTTCTCAACGAGAATTGTTCTATAATTTAGTTGTAATTTTGATATGGTCGTTGGAGGAGGTGAGCATAGAGTTTACCTATTTCATCATCTTGACCAAAAGCTATTCCTCAAGGCTGTTTCACAAACAGGATTGACAAGTGAGGGCAGTGAATTCTACGGGAATAGATTTTCCATTGAGTTGTGTGAGCTGTCATTTTCTGGGTAGTAACTGAAGCTCCATAACCATAGACTACAGTCTATAAAGTAATATTGTTCTTGTATTTATGCCTGAGGGGAGTGAAACCACTGCCTGCCTCTAAGTCTGCCTCCCCTCTCTATAGTGAGGTCACTAAGACAAGAAAGTGTAAAGTCTTCAGCACAGTGGCCCTCTCTCTATAATTCTGCACGATTCTCAAGTTCTAGAAACAATCTTGCAGCTCCAATGTCCTTTGGTTTTCAGAATAAATTGCTATTGTGTAAATCCAGACAAAACTGTCCTGAAAGTAAAATATTTGTATCTTAAATATGAAACATCATCTTCTCTGTGATAAACAATTCTCTTTCTCATCAGTAGCGACAGTGTCACTCTAGCTACCTCAGCCAAGAGATTGTAGCAGCGGCAGAGGCAGAGTCTGAGCTACCTACCTGCTTTCACGCTCCTTCTTGGTCAGGGGTCAGATCCTATGTGGACGGAAGCCATTCTCACTGCCGCCTGGGTCTGAGGAGTAGGGGGTGTTTGCGGTGAATGTCCAGCTTCACACTCAGAGCCCCTTGGGAATTTGGCAGTGTTCACAGGCCCTGAAACTACTGATGAGATTTATGTGGGAATATAGAGTCTCTTCTATTCCTCTACTATATTAGCCATTATTGCACCTACAAAACCTTTTTTCCCAAATATTGCATCTTTTAAAGTCTTCCAGTAGTCATAACAAACTTGCATTACCAATACATGATTTTTTATCTTTAAAAATAATGAGCCATTAAAGATCTTAAGTTTTTTTATTTCTCCCTCCAATCTCTCTCTCTCCTTTTTGGATATCATTTAACCTAATACTCATTTTTTATTTCATTCCTTTATACTTTTGTTTATTGTGTTGCTTTTGCTCTTATCTAAGTTAGATGAGGTAATACAAATATCCATCAGCACTTGCAGGAATTTTACCCCAAATTAAGAAAGGTAGAGTTGTAATTCGGCTCTTATTGAATTGAACACCCTACTTATTAAACATGGAGAAGAGTGTATATAGACTTGAATGGATTTATCAGGACCTTAACTAGCTGTTTAATGCCAAGGACCAGCCACAAACAAGATCACGTTTATGTTGGTCACCTTTAAATACTAGTAGTCATTTTGACACACTAGGACATTTTTTGATGTGCATGCGACATACAAAGTATGTAGACAGTAGAATCTATTAGGAATAAAAATGAGTAGTTATGAATTACTTCTTACTTTTTGAATAATCAAAGTTGATTCTTTTTTCACTCTAAGAAATTGTACCTAAATGACTATATTCATGTGGTCTAGGTATGGGAACTGCATGCCCAGCCTCTGAGATACACAATCTTAGGCCAGCCAGTCACCAGCCAACGAGGCCACTTTGAATGTGTGCTCTTTGTGCCCCAGCCTTAGTCACCTTTCATGTCAGGCTTCTCATCTGTCAGTGGTAGAGCTATAAATACTGCCTCTCTCGCAGATGTTATTAGGCAAATAAAATTGTACATGTGAGCCCTAGCCAATTTTGCTCAGTGGATAGAGCATTGGCCTGCGGACCAAAGGGCCCAAGGTTCAATTCTGGTCAAGGGCACGTACCTTGGTTGTAGGTTCTGTCCGGGCCCAGGCCCTGGTGGGGGCTCGTGCAGGAGGCAACCAATCGATGTGTTTCTCTTCCATCCATTTCTCCCTGTCTTTCCCTCTCTCTTCTGTTCTCCCTAAAAAAATCAATGGAAAAATATCCTCAGGTGAGGATTAACGAAACAAAAACTTAAAAAAAAATACATGTGAAAATGCTTTGCTAAGTGTGCGAAGATATTTTGCTGTGATGTTAACACTTCTACAGGAAGACACTCTGCACAAATATTTTCATGTAGTTATCTTTGTAGCCAAGGACAAAGAGCAGTACTCCAAACATTTGAAATGAAATGAAATATAAACTAATGAGTGAATTCTCTGTTGTTTAGAACCATGATGCTAGTCTCTCATTGAGCAAACAGAATAATAAAATTATGGCTTATCTTGTTACTAAGTAAGCCAATATTCATTCTGCTTTGTAATGGGCTACATTCTGAGTTATAAAATGGTCTTCATTATGCTGGTCTTCTTCGCAGGGTTGGCCTTTGCCATTCTCTCATCTGTGCACCCAGTGTTCGGTTTATATGGGTCTTTTTTTCCTGCCATCATTTATGCCATCTTTGGAATGGGAAGTCACGTTGCCACAGGTAATACTTTCTGTTTCTGATGATGCCTCTCATGTTTGTGAAGAAAAGGACCTCAAAAGTGATAATTAGTTGTTGATTACATTTCTACCTTTACTATGGAAAATCTCAGCAAATATTAGAGCTAAGACATTTCACTTTCTGTGCCTAACCACTCGATACATGTTGTGAACTATTGCTAAATTACTATGTAACCAGTTTATTGTTAAAGATTCTTTGCAGTGTTAGCTGTAAAAAGCCCATAAAAGGGAGACAAATGTTCTGATTTCACAATGAAATGTAGGAAATAAGCACTTTGAGGGATAAAGGTAAGAATTTCTAAAATTTAGTGACTTAAATATTGAAAAGTGTTTTCCACATAATTGATCTTTTAGGTTTCTTCTAAGCTATAATCTCTGATGCTCTTTAATTAATATATCTTTTAGCTTACTTAGCTCTGCATTACCAAGTATAATGTGAACTGTCACAAGTATAGAGGTCTGGTAAGAGAACGAGATGCTTAAAAACATGGGCTTTAGAGTTAGTCCTGGGTGTGTGTCTTATATTTTGTTTGTTATCTGCATGAGCTTAGGCAAAATTTTAAAGGTTTATTTGCTGCTTTCTTAATATTGAAATGCAAAAAAATTCACATGATTATAGTAAGAATTAGATGAGATGATTAATGTACAGTGTCTGGCTTAGTACTTGCTACACAATAAGACATTGAAAACGGTCCCACATTTGTGTGAGACCAGGACAATTTTGGGGAAATACCATTGAACTTTAATTACATTACACAGAAATGGCATACTTAATCATTTTATGGGCCGCAGCATGTTGTTATACTGTAATAAAGGTCTACTCTCCTAGGAAAGCACAGAGAGAATGATTAAACCTGGCTTGCAGGTTCTGAAATGGATCCTTATGGATATGGGATTGGAGCCAGACTTTGAAAGCCTACAGGGTTTGCACAAGTAGATAGAAGAGCAAGCATAGTAGGTAAAGAGCTTCAGGTTCATGCAAAGAATTCATATTTAGCCAGTGAGTGTACTGGGGTCTTTATACTTATCATCTTATTTATATTGCCCCAAACTCTGAAGTGTAGATATATGACTCCCATTTTACAGATGAGGCAATTTAGACTCACAGTAATATGCTTTGTCGCATTAGAGAAAAAATGGAAGAGCTAGATTTATGTCTAGTCCATGATCTTAATCCCTACACTGAGGATATTCTCTGTGCAGGTCTACCGAGAGATGGGGATGTGTATGGTCTGGAAGGGAATAGCAAGTAGATGGGTGTGGTTGTATGTTGAAGGAATATGTGTATAAGTAGGTGATTTTCTATTTATTCCATGGAGTGGAACAAAGGTTGGAGTAATGGGGGTGCAGAGGAGAGTGTTTCTAATAGATTGACTTGGTTTTACAGCATGGATTCAACTTCAGTGGTGGACTTCAACAATATTTATTGAGTCTGTTACTAATAGGAGATTCCCCTCCCCATCCCCCTTTTTAGGCACTTGTGCCTTGACATCCTTAATATCAGCCAATGCAGTGGAACGGCTTGTCCCTTCGAGTAGCCAGAACCTCACCAAACAAAGTAACACAAGCATCCTGGGCTTATCTGACTTTGAGATGGAAAGGATTGGTATCGCTGCATCCGTTTCCTTCTTGGGAGGTGTGATTCAGGTAAGTGGTACTGAGATGTGGGGATGAAGAAACTGAGACAGTGGCAAAGGAAAGGCAATTGGAGCTTTATTTTTATTCATGTTCATGGGTGTGTCTATTTAGATGGATAAGGGACAGATGTGCTCTGTCTTTATGAAAATACGGTCTGGTACAGAGAATAGTTCCTCTATAAGTACTGGTTGAGTAAATGAGTTAGAATGAATATAGTGAAGCTACAGAGAAGTAGTTTTTGACTTTTTAAGAACAAACTTTCTAAAAAGTATTTTTCATTTCTGGCTGGGGACCCTGGCTCACCAACTGAGTTGTTTTCACTTCGGTTGTTCTTAGGATTCAAATATTTGAGCAATAGTTGGTTTCCTACACAGATAAGAGGGGAAAGCTTAATTCCTCTCTAGAAAAAAAAATTATTGGTAAGAGTGTTTTCCCCAAAAAGACAAAATAAAATTTACAAAAATTCCGAGTTCATCTTAGCAAATGGATTTATTTGAAATGGCAACAGTGTCTCAGCCGATGATAAATTTGACAAAGCTAGTTGCACTGGCATGGTGTCACATGAGTGCTATTCTAAACAATTATGTACAGTTCTGTACATTAAAACCAACTCAGTTTTCCTGACTGGGATTCCTACCTTATGCCTAAGTCCCTGCCCTTGCTTCCAGTCCTACTCTAAGAATTAAAGTAGTTAATCCTTTGTATTCCTAGCATCCACCACCTATGGTTACTCAAAACACATGCTCCCCAGGAGCTTCCTGCTATTTCATTGAAGAAAAAAAGTTCTTTTTGTTTTTTGTTTTTGTTTGTTTTTTTGTCTTGTCAGTCTAGATTCAACCATATTAAGGCACCAGGCATGGTGCCATTTTAGATTTTTAAAATAATTACAAATATGATCACAAATTTGAATATCCCCCATAGAGCCCCATAGATCAACCGATTTTCTAGAATTTCTTGGTAACATGTATGATTAAGAAAAGAGAAACACAGTGAAGTAAATATTCAGGAAAAAATAACATGTTCATTTTAATCGAAACACTTCAATTGTTCCCAATAACATTGAGAGTCCTGGGACCTGGTTACGCTGTCAAGAACACTCAAGGGACTGAGCACCTAAAATTGTAGAACCTCATTTTCCATTAGTTCTCTCTGTCTGTGTGAAGTGAACATGTGTTGGATATTAAACTGTCTCGCAACCTTGGGACATTTGCTGTGCTCTGTCCTCTTAGGTGGCCATGTTTGCCCTACAACTGGGCGGTGCTACGTTCCTGCTCACGGAGCCTGTGATCAGCGCAATGACAACTGGGGCTGCCACAAATGTTTTGACTTCACAAGTCAAGCATCTCTTGGGAATGAAAATACCTTACATATCCAGGCCACTTGGATTATTTTATGTGAGTTTTCCACATGTCTTTGTTCATATATATTTTGGTGTGTATTTCACAAAGTAGGATTTGGTTCATTACAATACTGATGTATTTCCATCTTAAAGAAACTTGGGTTATCTATAATAATAAAAGCGTAATAGGCTAATTAGACCGAACCACCAAGAGCACAAGGCAAGCTTGGCAATCTATTTGACTGCCCCTGTTGGAAGTTTTATCTCCTTCCTTAAAAACAAGGAGTTTCAGAACTGGAAAACAGTTTCATTCTCAATCCCATCTCTGCAGTACAAGCAAAGCACTTTTCTCGTTTAAATGCTCCTGCAGGCTGCAAAGCAGGAACCAAGAATGTTAATAAAAGGGGATTAAAAAGTCAGAAGGAAAGCAGAGCCCATGAAACTTTTTCTTTTCTAGAGGATGAGGTCACAATTAAATATGTACAAATGAGGTTTAGATGTGGAGAACGAATCTGGGATTTCTGAGTCAAGAACACATAGTGGTTTGTTGAAAGCCCACATCTCCTCCCCAGTTATTTTGATATTTCTATTGTGAATTTTAGGAATGTTTAATATACCCTGAAAAATGGACAGTGTAAATTGAATGGGAGAGAAACAGAAAGCTCATCTGTAGTTTGGTTCAATCGTGGCTTGGGATAGAAACTGTAGCAGGTTATAGGACCTTGCTTTTCATCCCTTTGCATATTTCATGCCAATCCTGTATTCCTCTTGCTGCTTTTAAGATTCTTTCTTTGACTTTAACCTGTACACTGAGACAATACAAAATAAAATTGAAAGTAAACTATAAGAAAAAAATAAATAAAAATGAAAAGTACACTCAAATAAAAATAAAGAATACACACACACACACACACACACACATATATAATATATGGAAGGCATACAGTCTTCTCACATTCTATGTATTTTAGGCAAAACAGACTCCCCCACTACTTCTCTGATCCACCATCTGGCTGATTCCTGTTTATCTTCTTTAGGGACAGCTCTGCTGACCACTAACCCCTCAAAGACACATATGCTTCGGGTGCACCTTATATGTTTATAGCACCATAATGAACTAATTTGTTGTTTTAATTGGTAATGTACTCGCCATATTGTTAGCTCTATAAATGTTGAGGCTCATCGAAATTGTTCACCTTTGTAGACCTAGAATTGAGCATGGTAGTTGGCATAAAGCATGTGGCAATAAAAAGGTAAATAAAATATTGAATGACTGAGAACATGGTAATATTTCACACTAAACCCATGGTTGGCAAACTGCAGCTCTCAAGCCACATGCGGCTCTTTGGCCCCTTGAGTGTGGCTCTTCCTAAGCCTTAGGAGTACCCTAATTAAGTTAATAACAATGTACCTACCTATATAGTTTAAGTTTAAAAAATTTGGCTCTCAAAAGGAATTTCAATCGTTGTACTGTTGATATTTGGCTCTATTGACTAATGAGTTTGCCGACCACTACACTAAACCAAATATCTGATATCATTTAAATACCAGCGCTTAATTTCTTTGTATTTGATTCTCGGGTTTAAGGAAGAGTGGGGGTTCCCAGAGAGCCTATGAAATCCCCTCACTGCACTTAACAGTAAGTCTCCATGTAATTGATGAATTTGAGCTTATCTCTTCATTGAAGTGGCTGGGAAGGAGAAGTCATACATAGTGTACTTATGTAGAAAGAAGCAACCCATGAATTCGCTACAAGCATCAAGGGCAAAGCAGCGAATTAGAGCTTTGTACTGACACCCATCTATACCTCACCTTCCCATCCTACAGCCATTAAGATTTCTTGGTAAACATCACTGAGTTCATTTGGAGTCAGAGGTGGTTATAATGTGGGCGACCCTATATTTTCTTTCTATTTCTTCTCCTCATTGTAGCTCTACACATATGTCTTTGAGAACATCAAGTCTGTTCGCCTGGAGGCCCTGCTCTTATCCTTGCTGAGCATTGTGGTGCTTGTGATAGTGAAAGAGTTAAATGAGCAGTTTAAAAAGAAAATTAAAGCCGTCCTTCCTGTCGATTTGGTTTTGGTAAGTGTGAAATCTGCAGTTAGCATTCTGCCCTACAATGTTTGCCAGCTGTTGGGGTGACCTGCTGAGGTTCACCATGTTGCCTACAGTAACTCACAGCTGCTCCTACCTCTCATGAAGATGTCTCATTTGTGTGGCTATCCATTCGTGTAAGACCAGGAAACATTTGAAGTCACTGATTTTAAAAAGGACACACACACATGTTTTCACTTATTACAGCATTTCTCATATTCTTGTTGTTTTTACCGAAGTACAACAACATGTATCCTAAGACTTTGAATATGGAGACATTTCTAGAGGGGGGCAGAGGCTGTGGCATAACAGGAGGCTGCGTGCCCTTGCTCCTAGCCAGGGACAGGATTTATAGCTAAGATACTGTGCAATCAGCCTGAAGAAAAAAAACAAGAGAAGCGTAGCTGATTGGACATGTTTTATCTAAGGAGCACTGAAGAGAAACCTAGAGACTGGAGAGGAGGGAGTTTGGAAAGGGGGAGCTTCCTGGGAGTTGGTGCTCAGCTGAGAGGCCCGAGTGACACTGGCTGCAAAGTTTTGCACCTCGCTTTTTACATTACAACCAAAAGAGGAGATGTCAGTGGGTCACATGGAATCCACTGGTGATCGAGTAGGGAGGTGGGAGAAGGCAAAGTGGGGAAACCTCTGGGATTGGATAAAAAGTAAAAGGATAGACATACTTACTTTTTTTACATAGGTGGGTATAGGATAGTTCACAATCAACAATGAACTCAGTGACAATGAGGGGATCTGTGGTCTCCGCAGAGCAATGCCTGTGCTTTGAGGGGTCCAGAAAAAAGGAAAATTACTTTGACATTCCAACGATATGTTATCATAGATGCAAAAAGGCAGTATTGAGAGATACAGTTAAGGTAAAGATTGACCTTTGTTGAGGAAGATACCAGCCTAGGACCTGACTACCTACCATAAACTGCTTTTAGTTAAAAAAAAAAAAAGTTTGAATTTCAGACCATCCTTTGTGGTTACCTCAGCTCTCTGAGTTTGCAAGGCCACCTCACAGGCTTTCTCTGAGCTAGTCAGGTTAGCATGTGGCCCCTTTTTGTCCACATTATTGATTACTAATCTCTATTAGGAATATCAATGCAATTTCTCAAAACATGCTACAGTGGGGCCTTGACTTATGAGTTTAATTCGTTCCGAGACCGAGCTCGTTAAGGAGCTCATTAAGGAGCTTGTTAACTCAAATTACTCTGTCAACTCAATGCAAAAAATCGGCCGAGAGACAGCTGGTATCTCAAACAACTCGTTAGTCGGGACACTTGTAAGTCAAGGCCCCACTGTATTTTCTAAAGCAGTGATTCCCAAAGTGGGCGCTACCGCCTCCTGGTGGGCACTGCAGCGATCCAGGGGGGCGGTGATGGCCGCAGGTGCATTTGTTTTAACTTTTTTTGTCTTACCTTTCTATTCTGAGTTCAATAAATAGTTTCATAATTTCAAACTTCAATGTTTCTAATTTACACCTTTCTTTACTATATTTTACGAAGAAGGTAGAAACATTAATACATATATCTTTCTGTTTAATTGCTATTAAAATTTAAAAAAAAGTAATTTCCAGGGGGCGCTGAGTAATATTTTTTCTGGAAAGGGGGCGGTAAGCCAAATAAGTTTGGAAACCACTGTTCTAAAGCATCCCTTCATGTCACAAGAGACAAGTGTTAAGGTTGGATTATGGTAACTTCACACACACACACACACACACACTCCTATAGTCTGTTTTTCTCCTGTTCAAGATTAGACATAATTGGGTTTAAGTAGAGTAAAACATTTTAAAAAATCCTACATAATAAAAAGCTAATATGCAAATAGACCAAATGGTGGAACAACCGAACAACTGGTCGCTATGACATGTGTTGACCACCAGGGGGCGTCAGCGTGTGGGAGTGGCAGCGGCGGGAGCGGGGCTGCTGGCAAACAGGGGACTGGGGGCTGTGGCGGGAGGGGCCAGGCAGGGGTGCAGAAGATAGGCCAAGACCCACCCCTGTGCCTACTGCAGCCTCGAGGCCCACCGTTCCTTTCAAGGTGCACGAATTTGTGCACTGGGCCCCTAGTCTATATAATAAAAGCCTAAGCGACCGTTATGGCAGAACCACCAAAACGACTGGTCACTATGATGCGCACTGACCACCAGGGGGCAGATGCTCAATGCAGATGTTCAGTGTGCTCCCACAGGGGGAGTGTCACTCAGCCAGAAGCTGGGCTCACAGCTGGCTAGTGCAGTGGTGGTGGCGGGAGCCTCTCCTCCCTCCACAGCAGCACTAAGGAGCAGTGAGCCAGCTGAGCATTAAGGAGCAGCAAGCAGTGGGGGCGGTAAGGAGTGAGGGATCCCAGACTGCGAGTGGGCTCAGGCCGGGCTGAGGGACCACCCCCCCCCCCGAGTGCACAAATTTCATGCACCAGGCCTCTAGTATTATTATAATGCCATTTAATTTTTGAGACTGCAAATTAAGTGCTCTCGAATATCAGAAGTATTCTTTGAACTTTAAAATTTCCTAATTTTTAAAAATCTGTATAACTGCTACATCATTCATGACAATCCTGGGACACATGAACAATGTCTACTTTCAACGTTAATTTTTAAAAAGGTATTTGAAAGGCTACTAGTAATTTTTTTTCAAATGTAACCACACAGGTTATTGCTGCATCATTTGCTTGTTATTATACCGATATGGAAAATACATATGGATTAGACGTACTTGGTCATATTCCAAAAGGGTAATGTTTTTTTTCTTACTTTTTTGTTTGTATGTTTCTTTGTTTTTGATGGAAGAAGAGACTAGACTAGAGGTAGGTGGTATGGATTTTATTTCTTTCAAAAATCAATATTCTAATTATTTACTATTTTTAAGTGTTAAAAACAAATAATACACATGTAGAGAAAGACTAACATCTTAGACTGTTCGCATATAACCAGGAAAGTTAATAACTGTTTTTTTTTTCAAATTTATTGTTGACAGTATTACAGTTGTCCCCAGTTTCCTATCCCCGTCTGTCCATCTCTACCTAGCTCGACCCCAGGCCTTCCCCACACTATTTTCTGTGTCCATGAGTTATGCATATATGCATATTAGTTCTTTGGTTAATCTCTTCCTGCCTCCCAACTCCTTCCCTCTGAGATCTATTAGTTGATTATTTTATACACATTGCTTCAGATAAAAGATTTGGAAATTATTTACAAAAATATTGTTTTGTTCTTTTATTAAATATATATTTTTATTGATTTCAGAGAGGAAGGGAGAGGGAGAGAGAGAGAGAAACATCAACGATAAGAGAGAGCCCCACACTGGGGATCAAGCCCACAACCCAGGCATGTGCCCTGACCGGGAATCGAACCAGGATCTTCTGGTTCATAGGTTGGCGCTCAACTACTGAGCCACGCCAGTTGGGCAGTTGCTATTTTTTAAATGAGGGCATTGCATTTCTAAATTAGAGTCATGTTCTGGGATTTAGTCTTCCCCATTTCACTTACATATTCTTATGACTACTTTTATTTCACTTAAAACATAGTAAAAGTACACAAGCATTACCTGAAATGGCAAACCCATAGGCCAGGTATTTTATAATGGTGAGGGAGAGCGTGGAGTGGAGAAGAGGGCGTGGCTTCCTTTCTGTCTGAAAGCTTTTCTCTGAACACTAAGAGGAAGGTTAACAAGAAGAGCTGTTCACCCTGAAAGGGCAAAAGGGTGTTCCAAGTATAGCATGAAAGAAACAAAGGCATCTTCAGGAAGAGAATGTGTCTTAGGGCTCATTTCCTTTTAAGGAGCTGTATACATACCAATATTTATAAATTTGGGGCAAAGTTAGTTATTGAGTCCTCTCTAATTTTACCTTTCACTCCCAAATTTTGGTTTCTAACTACATTAAAATGGAGGGAGAATAGAAAACATTTAGAGATTAAAAAGATAATTTTTAAAAATTCTGTGTTTAGCCTTTATGCAGTTAAAGGTTAATGGTGATTATCTGGGTCAATTTGGTTTTTATAAAAAGTTATCCACTTTTCCACCTTCAAAAGTCAGTTTAGCCCTAGCTGGTTGGTCTCAGTGGATAGAGCATCAACCTGCAGACCGAAAGGTCCTGGGTTCGATTTCAGTCAAGGGCACATGCTTGGGTTGCAGGCTCAATCCCCAGTAGGGAGTGTGCAGGAGGCAGGTGATCAGTGATTCTCTTTCATCATTGATGTTTCTATCTCTCTCCCTCTTCCTTCCTCTCTGAAATCAATACAAATGTATATATTTTTTAAAAGTCAGTTTATTGTTTCTTTCTAGGTCCGTTTATTGGTATTAATAATTAGGCAAGCTCAATTTCCATGAAACAAAAGTTCTAATACTTTCAAATAGTAGTACTTTTGTATAGCATATATTTTAGAGCCTATAGTGATACAAGTACATTTGTTTTGGGGGTAAACTTTAGCAAGTAGGTAAAAAAATGTATGCCTCTCCTCCATCCACACTAATTCTCCCTTATTTTGGATGAACTTTCCAGACCCAGCCTCTTAAGGAATCAACAAGAGTGTGGCATTGAAATTAGACAGAGCTGAGATCAGCTCTACCGTTCACTCTGTGATTTAGATACATTCCCTAGCCGCCTTCTCCATGCAGTTAATATGAAAGGGCTGAGCAATCTACTTACTTACTAGATATTAAATGAACATGTATTGCCTTCCCTGTTTCTTCTTTTTCCCCAGAGGGATGTATATATATAGTCTCCCAAAGCATCATTAGGCATAAATAAATGATGAGACTTTATTTGGAGCAAGTAGTTTTCAAAGAACAGTAAGACAATGGTCAGGTATTCATTGAAATAAATATTTTAAATAATTCTTTAAACCTGAGATACAGTTAACTGTGGTCCCATATTTTGCAACAGAGGGTAGATGTAGCCTTTATGCATATTTTCCCTGACACATGTGATGCATAGTTAAGTGTGCTGTGAAAGGATCGAGTTAGAAACATAATTAAGCTGTTGAATTCAATAGCAAATTTAAGGATTAGTTCAGGAAATTATAGCTCGCAGTAAACCAGTGTCCTCATACAGGTCTATAGTGTTCAAGGCAGACAATGCAGTCTCTAATGCCAGCCAAATAAATATTTGAGAAGGTTCAAATGAAAGAATGCTCCAAATATGCTTTTGTTCTGATATAGAACATTTTCATCAAGTCAGTTCCCGAGGTGAACTTGGGTGCAGATGGCAGTGGTGTGGTGTTGACCCTGTGGTGTTCCTTGCGATTTTGCTTTTCTGTTAAATAATGTTGAAAACAAAGGGCTTCTAAGGGCAAGGCTGCCTGGCTTTCTCCTGGGCATCTTACTTATTCTATGTAAACTTCAGAGTCACCACCGTAGTGGAATTCATTGCAAGTTGTTGTAGAAATTACATGAAAGTTGATGACTTCATTATGTATTTCTTTCCACAGAATTCCTTTGCCTAGACCTCCCTCCATGCATGTCCTCTCTGCAGTAATCACAGAAGCTTTTGGAGTAGCACTTGTGGGCTATGCGGCCTCCCTGGCTCTTGCTCAAGAATGTGCCAAAAAATTCAAATATTCAGTGGATGACAACCAGGTGGAGTATGCCCCAGTCCCTCTCCATAGCTATCGTATCATCATGCTGTGAACTCCCAGGTCCTGAAAATGTTGACCCTATGAAAAATATAACTTTCCTACCTGTACAGAAAGAATAGATTGACCAAACACAAAAGAAAATCTCTAAATCATTTATAGCTGAATATCTTTCCTTTATGGGTTGGTTTATAATTTTATCTTATTTTGAGAAAGAGGGGCATCTTGATTTTCTTTTTAATTTGCTTTTAGGCAAGAATCTAAATATATTACCATTGAGTACTTTTTTTTCTTTATTGATTAAGGTATTACATAGTGTCCTTATCCTTCCATTCCCCCCCCCCACTCATGCCCTCACCCCCTTGGTATCTGTGACCATTGGTAATTCTTATGTATATGCATGCATATAAGTCCTTTGGTTGATCTCTCCCCCTTACTCCCGCCCTCCCTTACCTTCCCTCTGAGGTTTGACGGTCTGCTCGATGCTTCTTTGTCTCGGGATCTGTTTTTGTTCATCAGTTTACGTTGTTCATTATATTCCACAAATGAGTGAGATCATGTGATATTTATCTTTCAAAAATGATGGTTTTTAAAGTACAGAAAACACTAGTATTACTCGTCTTAGTAGAAAACTAAAGGATGTGAGCATCTACTTTTGGAAGGCCAAACAATGAAGATCATGTTGATCACATTTTAGAATTAATTTCTCCCAGTGTCTTGGCCCCCCATTCCTACAGGTCAGCAGAGATAGCTGTGGAAAACTGGTTACAAATGTCAAATCACCTATGTCTAATCTCACTCTGACACCAGGTGCCCTTCATTATTTTTGTGCCCCAGTTTTGTCATCTGTATAAAAGAAGATTTATTCATTCAACTGATGTGTATCAAGTCCTACTAACGTACCAGGCACTAAGAACAAGGGATACAGGAGTGTACAACACAGACCCTATCTTTTCTCAACTCAGAGCCTACCAGAGGTTTACCCTTGTACTCAGATTAAAAATCTCTTTACCAAGGTTTACAAAGCTCTACATCCCTTTTTTCTCTATATATCCCTTTTTTCTTTTTTCTTCTTTTACTCTGTTTGCTGCCTGCTTTTCATTGAACCCACCGCTGATGATTCTGACTCAAGACATTTGCACTTGCTCTTCCCTTTCCCACAAGCTGTTCCCCTACATATTTGCATGCCTCCCTTATTTAAATGCTCCCTTCTCAGAGAAGCCTTCCCGGGTAAGATAAAATCCTAAACTCCAGACTTTCCACTCCCTCCTGTGCTATACTTGACATATTCATCTTGTTTGTTGTCCGCATTCCCTCACCAGGATGTCAGTTCTGTAAGGGCAGGGATACTGGTCTCTGTAGGTTACTGGTAACAGGAAAGGCAGAAAGAAAACATCAGGAGGTTTTTACAAGAATCCAGGTAAAATTAGACAGTGTGTTCCAGGATGTAGCAATGGAGGAGATAAGTAGACCGATTCTAGATTGTAGATACCAGCTGGGAAAAAGGGAAGGAGTCAAGAATATTGTCATGTGATGCTGATTGATGGGGATACATATTGAAAAATGTGTCATTAGGCTATTTTGTCATTTTTTAAACATCAGAGTTCTCTTATGCAAACCTAGATGGTATCACGTACTACACACCTACATATATGGTATAGCCTATTGCTCCTAGACTACAAACCTGTGCAACATGTTACTGTACAAAACAATATGAGATTTAATCAAGCCCAATAAAAATAATATAATCAAGAAACACAGTAAACATGAGAGATATGAGGCTGCTGTCAGTGTTACAGCCTTGATTAAAGCGATTTAAAAGATGGGGAGAAACTGGCAACAGAGACAATAAATATCTTGTATTTTCCCATAAGGTTGTTATGACGATTAAATTATTAAAGTACTTACAATGGTTTATTGCTCATTTAATCTCTCAGTAAATGTCCACTTTTTTTTTCCAATGGTTAATTCACAACCATTGGAGAGAACAGAAATGGGATATAAACAAGACTCATTGTTTGATAGGTTGTACCTGTGGTCTCTAAAAGTTGATTGTTATTAAGAAGTGATGTATTCCCATATTATCAATCTTCTAGGAATTTTTGGCTCATGGCCTCAGCAATGTGATTTCTTCATTTTTCTTCTGCATACCAAGTGCTGCTGCCAAGGGAAGGACCACTAGCCTATACAGCACAGGAGCAAAGACACAGGTAACTTCATTGTCTGGCAGGGAACTCCCTGGCCTTTACTCTCCCTCTGGGGAAGAGTGCTTAAGAGCGGGCATCTATCTAAAGCACAGAAGATAGCCTGGCTGGCGTGGCTCAGTGGTTAAGCTTCAACCTATGAATCAGAAGATCATGGTTAGATTCTTGGTTGTTGTGGGCTCACCAGAGCATGCAGGAGGCAGCCGATTAATGGTTCTCATCATTGATGTTTCTATCTCTCTCTCCCTGTCCCTTCCCCTCTGAAATCAACAAAAATAAAAATATATTTCTTAAAAAGTACAGGAAATAGTTTTACTTCATTTTTTTCTAACTACTTTCAAGGAAGTCTATTTCTCCTCTCTTTCTTGTGAATCTTCCTTCCAAAAGCCAGTGATTCAGTGAGCTGACTAAAAAAATACTGTACCAATAGCAGCTTTACTGTTGGCAGCCTTTAAGCCAGAGCTCTCACTACTGGAGCCTCTGTTTTTGCTAAGCTAATCAATTTGAAAATTTTCCATTTTTGTTCACTTTCTTTAAATGAGATGAATTATAATTTATTTAAATCAATTATATAAAAAATTAGAGGCCCCGTGCATGAAATTTCCCTCAGTCCAGCCTGCGCCTTCTCGCAGTCCAGGATCCCTCTCGCAGTCTGGGACCCATCACTCCTGCCTGCAGCAGAGGCAGAAGAGGCTCCCACCACCATGGCTGAGCCCGGCTCCTGCGTTGAGCGTCTGCCCCCTGATGGTCAGTGTGCATCATAGCAACTGGTCGTTCCTCTGTTCAGTCAATTTGCATATTAGGGTTTTATTATATAGGATTAGCCAGTAACATTGAGATTCCTGTATGAATAGATGTGCAAGTATTTAAATAAGTGATAAGATGTTTGTGCACATTTGAGATTACAGAAATAATTATTATATATTTTTAGGAATTCAAGTCAACTCAACACTTGAGTGCCTCTTCTATACCAAGTATTATGCTAGATACTGGTAAGATGACAGTGATGACAATGAAGATAATCTGTGATGCTTATTCAGAGTAGCAGTGTTGGTGGAAACATATATTGATTTATGTGCCAGGCATTGCATATCATACTTTCTATGTAAATGAATGCATTTAGCCCTTTATAGGCAACTTTGAAGGAAGTATAATTATTATTCTCAGTTTCCACATGCTAAAATTGAAGAAAAGAAGGTTAAAGTAAATTACCCAGGTCACAGAGCTAATGAGTTGGCAGAGTTGGGGTTTTAACCCAGATAGATTTACTCCAGATCTTGCACTGTTGACCGTAGTTCTATACAAGAAAATGCATGTATGTGTTAATATAGAAACTCATATTACCTGCTCACCATTATTAAAACAATTCACATTGGAATTGAATAAGGATTTATAAAATATTTTATGTGACAGGTTGAACATTTTTAGGAGCCTGCCCTTATAGTAAGTCTTTTCTGGGAGGTGATCAGAAGAATACATTTGAAAGGGTGTGGTTTTTTTACCTTGGGGAGCAAGTGGCAGGAGAAAGATGGGTGAAGACCAGCAGGAGTTTTAAGTATGCTATTAAAAATCGGTAATGGACAGTTAAGGGCTTTACCAGACAGTAAAAGAAACAGGTGAGCTTGCCAAACAAGGATTTCAGTGTAGATTTTGTCTTTAGTCAGTGACCTTAAAGAAACAAGTTACTGTTAAAGATTGAATGGAAGAACCCGTCGTTGTCCCACATCTGGATGTTGCTGTTTACATTCCTTTGTTGAACCTGTATCTTCATAAGCTTTTTAGCAGGTTTATGGCGGACACTCTGTTTCACAGTCAAGACAGGATCCGAGGCCGTGGATACTGACAACGGATTTCCCTGTTTCATTCTGTCTTTTTCCATGACTGTACCTACTGCCTCATCTTGATTTGTGATCAAAACCTGGAAGACCTACAAAAATGTGTTTTGTAGTCATCTAGGAATAACACAGAAAATATTGCTGCTACTTTTGGTGCAGAAAGTCAATTTTGTATAGTTTATTTCAACGTAAATAAAATGTGAATTTAGTAATAGAATCATTTTCTCATCCCTCAACCTGCTTGATTTTAGTAATTTAGCAGCTTGAATATCATGATTTCATTTACATTTCTTCACTCTATTCCTAAGTATAAAATGGTAAAGAGTTGAAGAAAAGTAAAATACCTAAAAGATGTTTGTCTTATGGGTAATTAAGGGTGTGAACATTTTACTAGTTAAAACATATAAGTAAGGGGGTACTTAGGTTGTTTTTTTTCCTGAGCTTAAAAAAAATACAAGTTTATCTTTCTTGCTTTGGCTGCAACTTGCTTTAAAATTTTTTTTTAGTTGATCAGAAATGTATAAGAAAGCAGCACTTTATGTGCAAATTAAAGGGTACTCAAAAAGGTGGTGAAACTTGAAAATATAACTCAATGGGATTATTACAGAATCTTGAAGTTAGAGAAGTCTATTATAGTACTGAAAATATCTTAATCTAACTTTTTTTTTTTTGCATTTACTGAGTTGTCCATTTCTGAAGTGATGGCTTGGACTGCATGATCTCACAAATTTTTTTTAAAAAATCTAAAGTTTAGCATCTGGATCTCTTACTTATGGAGACAACGAATGCAGTGTTTTGAGAACATTGAGGGCAGAAACTATTATATTATTGATTTTCATGCCTGAGGAGGAAATACATGAGGCAGAACTGATAAAAATTTCTTGTCCAATTAGATGCACTTGTCTTTTGTCCTCGGGCATCAACAATGATGAGGCAAGTGCAGCAGAGAAGCTGACATTTGCCATTTGTTTATCTGACCTATTTTATTTTATGACTTCTCATGTAAGGGAAACAAATCCTGTGTTTCACCCATCATGTGTCACTTTTGTAAGTAAGACCCTTTTAACTCTTGAGTTATTTTAACGATAGGACCGGAATTGTAGTTTATTGTTGATGAACATACAAGGCATCATGTCAATAAAAGATAAGTTAAATATTATTTAGAGAAAAGCCCAAAGGTAGTTATAGTTCACTGTTTTGAAATAGGATTATTGAGTTAAGTTGTATTTTCTATATCATCTTTACTATACTATAAGATATTTTTGGAACCTTAAGATATATTTAGCTTGATGGATCCCAATTTAGTTCATGGTCCATGTACCTTCTAACTCCTTAGTTTTATGATCTTAGTCAAATCTGCTTGTTTCCCTGGGCCTCAGAACCTTTTACAGAGTGTAGACTACCTTCCCCAAGTTGATATCTGCAATTAAGAATAAGGGTTTTATTTTCAGATACATTATAAGTATATGAGTGAAGATCCCATCAAAGGGGTGCATGCCATTGTCTTTTATTGTGAAATAAACCTTGGCAGTTGTCCTTTTTTCCCCCCATATAAGCAGTGATATAATGAGTCACTTATTAAGGTATCTGAATAATTTCTGTGATTTGCTCTTGACACCTAGCTCTCTCTGATTTAGTGGAATGGCAACATCGATTTGTGTTTAACATTTTTATCAAAGCCCAGCCTGTGTAGCTCAGTGGTTGAGCATTGACCTATGAAGCAGGAGGTCACGGTTTGATTCCGGTCAGGGCACATGCCTGAGTTTTGGGCTCAATCCCTAGGAGGGAGGAGGTGTGCAGGAAGAAGCAGATTGATGATTCCCTTTCATCATTGATGTTTCCATCTCTCTCTCCCTCTCTGAAATCAATAAAAATAGGTTTAAATATTCATATATTTAAAAAATTTTTGTAATGTAAAATTAGCGATTACTCCTAAATGATTAGTTTAGTGACAATGTGTTATAACTTTTTTATGGGCAATTTTTTATTACCTAATGACTTATTTCCCACAGAAAGATTTCTTTCCTCTTTCTATGCTGGGGAGTACTGGAGATAAGTTCTGCTAAATAAGGAAGGAACCTGTGACTAGCTTCTTTTCATTAGTTTAATTATTTTGAGTTTCATCTAGGATGTTGCATATATCAATAGTCTGTTCTTTTCTATTGCTGAGTAGTATTTTATTATACGGATATACCACAACTTGTTTATCTAGTCACCAGTTGTTGGACATTTCAGTTATTTGCAGTTGTTGGTGTTTGTTAATAAAGATTTTGTAAGTATTTACATATAGGTATTTGCATGAGTGTGCATTTTTACCTCTGTTAAACAGTTCTGGGATATACGGTAAGTGTATGTGTAACTTCATAAGCAACTGCCAAGCTGTTTTCTCAGCAATGTCTGAGAACACCAGTTGTTCTGAATCCTCACCAGCCCTTAATATTGATTGACTATTTGATTATATATTTATTTTTAATGTTAGCCATTCTAATAGAACCTGATTCCCTGTGATTTTTCCATAATGGTATTCTGGGCATCTCTGTGGTCCTGTGAGAGCCCTCTTTTTTCTGTTAGGCTGCCAGTTTGTCCAAAAGTTTCTATTAAGTCATGGACATTTGCTTATGTGAAATCAGGTTCTCCATTAGGTGGAGCATAGCTAAGAGTCAAGTTATTTGAACTTCCTTTTGTCAGCAGGTTGAATTGATTGGAAGGTGAAACTGGTAGCTTTTCAGGATTAATAAAATGCATCTGTTTCATTGCAGAAACTTCTACCGTAATCCTATATAACTGCTTCATACTGGAGCCCTTTCTAACAAAGAACTCCAAAGAAGAGAGTAAATGCTTCAGTGAAAATTTATCAGCAGCACAGAAAAGCCTTCAGCTGCATGTTCAAATATTACCCAGATAACTCCCTGGGAAGTGAGGAGGGGAGTTAAACCAAACAGGCTAAAGGACCTTTAATTGAAATGTTTTCACTATTAAACCAAAAGCCATTGTTGTAATGTGTACTAAAAGTCTTTTTTTCCCCATAGAATTGCTTTTCTGTCATCACTGACTTAATTAGATTGCACCAGTTTGTCAGGTGTCACATTCGGGTTCCTTCAGCTGCAGAATAGAGATAATAGTCCACGTAATTGAATAATCATGTGCCAGCATATTGTTCTTTCTAATCAAGATGAACTAAGGATTTTATTACTTTGGAATTATTAGAAAGTTCAAGGTTTTCTCTTTTACCTGTCTTGTATTTTACAGGTGGCTTGTCTCATATCTTGCGTTTTCGTCCTGACAGTCATTTATACAATAGGACCTTTGCTTTACTGGCTGCCAATGGTACGGTAGTGCTCTCCCGTAATCTGCTTTTTAAATTTACTTTTAATGAGAAGCATTGCATATTAAAATTTCTTAAATGACTGCCCCAGCTGGTTTGGCTCAGTGGATAGAGCGTCAGCCTGCTGACTGAAGGGTCCCAGGTTCAATTCCAGTCAAGGGCACATGCCCAGGTTACAGGCTCGATCCCCAGTGTGGGGCGTGCAGGAGGTAGCCGATCAATGATTCTCTCTCATCAATGATGTCTCTATCTCTCTCTCCCTCTCTGAAATCAATAAAAATATATCTAGAAACAAAACAAACAGAAAAAAACAAAGTCACTCAGAATCCTAATCCCAGTGGTTCATCTTGCCTTTCATAAGCCTGAGGTACCAAAGTTATGCAAATAAGATTCTGGTCTTCAGAGAACCAGAGGCAGTGTCAGACCTCCCTTGTTCTCATTGGGATAGTGAGATTATGATCTTTCAATAATAAAGTTCACACTTCAACAGAGTTATGTCTTTCAGTGAAACCAGATAAACCGAGACCCAAGGCAATTATAAAGAAATACATAGCTACCTGGGGAACTCAGTTGGTTCGAGCATCATCCCAATATGCCAAGGTTTGCGGGTTTAATCCCCAGTCAGGTCCCATACCAGAATCAATCAATCAATGCATAAGTAGATGAAAAAATAAATCCATGTTTCTCCTCTAAAATCAATAAATAAAAAGTTTAAGAAATACATGATATAATATTTAATTTTGCAACAAAAATTGGTGGTGGATAATTATTATAAAGTTGAGGACAACCAGCATGATAACATTTACCCTTATCATTCATTACTTTTCTTTTTCCTTCTTTCTAATTTTTTAGAATGGCATGTTTTACCCTGTTATTTTCTAGAATTGATATTATATTCCTGAGGTGCAATAATTGGTTAGTTCTAAACAAAATGAATGCTACATTAGTCTTCTAAATGATGATTGCTTTTTTTTCTAGTAAGTACTCTAACAAAGAAAGAAATTAAAATACTTTGGTTCTTTTAAATTTTGATTAAAATATTTATCTTGCCTTTTCATTAACCTATTTCTTATTTGTAGTGTGTTCTTGCAAGTATTATTGTCGTGGGACTGAAAGGAATGCTCATACAGTTTCGGGATTTAAAAAAATATTGGAATGTGGATAAAATCGATTGGGTTAGTAGAAATTTAACCTACATTTTCATCTTTGACTTAAACACATGTAAAAAATAAATTTTAATAGTTTCATTTGCAGAAAGTAGTTTTAGTCATTTGAGACTTGTACACTTTACAAACTACCAGTAATTTCTTTTAAAATCCCAATAAATGCATTTAAATGTGAAATGTCTTTATAAGAAATAGGCCTGGGATTTTGTCAAATTTTGATTGATGTGTTCTTTGAGAACTTTTAAAGAAATGCTAACTAACTTGAGTGGATTGAGGATTCTTAATTTCTGTTATGGATTAATTTTGCCAATGAAGTTCATGAAGTACACAATAATAAAAATATGACAAGTTGAACATGTATGAGAAATCATTAATTGCTAAGTTATGTACACCACATTAATATAAGGTGAAAATCTTAGTAGTGACCATATTCATTCTAAATACAAAAAGTCACATGAATTGGGTTTTAAATGGGTTACGTTGAGAGGATCATTATTTTAATAGGATATTGCCAGGAAGAGATTAAATTATACTAAACAGTGGAAAAGTGTGGCTTTTACTAACATAAATGTTTAACATGCTTATTCAAGAGTCAAATTGGCCCTGATGCTTTAGCTTTCACAATTTCACAAAGAGTGGCCCCTTGCAAATAAAATAATAACGCTCATTGGAGTAGTTGATCTGAAAGTGGCTTTGATCATGATGTTAGATTCAGTCATTTTAACATTAGGGTTTGAGTCATGTGGAAAAATAAATTAGTTCTTTTTATAGCAATCCTAGAAAGCAGAATAGTGTTGGGAATGACCAAACAATATGGCATGCTTTTAAACCGCACACATCAACCAATAATTTACAGATCTTAAATAAAGCGTTTTTTTGGGGATTGAATTAAGTATTGGTGGTGGGTAGAAATACAAGCATGTGCCTTTTACCCACCACTGCTCCTGAGAGTGTGAGGGGGCAGGATTTGTTTCTGTATTCCTGGGCTTCTGTTTATGACATCTTACTAAATAATATATTCTGCCTGAGAGATGTGGTTACTGGAATATTGTAGAATAAAATTGTGAGGAATTTATCAATTATGAGAATATCAAAGGACCCACATCTTTTCTCTTTGCTTCTCTTTCAGGGAATATGGGTCAGTACATATATATTTACAATATGTTTTGCTGCCAATGTGGGGCTACTGTTTGGTGTTGTTTGTACCATAGCTATGGTGATTGGTCGCTTCCCAAGGTAAGATCTTATTTAAATGTTCTGTTTATTATGACACAGCAGCAAAGTATATGGTGTTACCAGTTACTTTTATTTCTGTGGGCTATATAGTGCTACAATTCATGTTTTATTTTCTATTGGAGACAAAACGAAAAAGGTTTTATCTACATATGAATAATGTTGTTATTCCTGAGGACTTTAGAAAAATACAGATTTACCAGTGTCTTATTAACAAATGAGTTAGAGGATCTAAACCATTTTAGGTATATTCCTATTGTTCAAACATCATTTTTACTTCTTCATGGTTAATGCAGTAATTAGGAAATGACATTTTGTTTTCCATCTGCCTTAATTCTAGAGCAAAGACACTGAATATAAAAAACATGAATGAAATGGAATTTAAAATGAAAACAGAAATGGATGGTGTAAGTTTAGTTTTTTTTTCTACTTTGTGCAATTATTAACAATTTTTTGTGATTAAGATAGCTTTAAAATATCATTAAAACAGATAAATTATGTCATTGAAAACATTATAACTGTATTTTAATTAGTTTAAACTTTAAAATTGTATATATGTGATTACTCTATATACGGCATATGACAAGCAACAAATTAATAGAACAACTGCAACAAAAAATTTATATTAGCATTCATATAAGACAATAGAACTACAGCCCACAGCAGAATCATAGTTCAGATTAATTCAGGCATTTTGGAAACCTCTTTTCCATTGCTCAGTTCCATAAAACAGTCCAACTAAACCAATAGGCCATTCCAAATTAAATGATGAGGGAAGGTAGGGAATAGGAAAGGAAATAAGGCGAAGTCAGATCTTGTTATTGTTTTTTTAACACACACACAATGAGATTGTATTATTAGCAGATAGTAATTTATTCTAATGATTACAGAATGCCAATAGAATTAGTTTCTTGCACAGTGCACACTTAAAAAACAACAACTTTTTTGTTTTACCCTATCAGGTCAATTGTGTTTTTGTTCTAGTTTTTTTATTCTGAGGGATGGCCAAAACAAGTTGTAACGTGAGGAAAAAAAAATGTTGCCTTGAACTTTTTGCAAATTGGCCTCCCTTTGAACCTGCTTTGTAAATGTTTGGTTAACTTTTTCTTCTTTATTTTTTACATTTTCTTGTTCCAGTACCTCATGGTTACCCTCAGAACAGAGAGAACTGGCCTTCCCCCAGCAGGGCCACTGTCAGGGTATTTCTGAATAGACTGGGAGTGAGAAGTAGCACCAGGAGTCCTTCTGGGACACCTGGGGGAATGGCCTGCTTCTCAGAGAACTACTGGAGTTCAGAGCCTTCGAGACTGTCCCAGTATCAACTTTCCCACCAATGCTGCCTTTCTCTTCCTTCCTATCTCTTTATTATTTTTTCCTTTTACATTTTACATAGGAATTTGTACAGATGGACTCTTGGGCCCCTAAGATCCTCTATGTATCTACCCCACACATACAGTTATATATATTAGCTTTGGCATTCTTAACTTTGAAACAGAATTGAAGTTTGAAACTTAAAATTCTTGAATAGAAATTTTTAACAAATATACATATTTTTTATTGATTGATTTTGGCGCGAGAGGGGAAGTGAAGAAGGGGAGAGAGAAGGAGGAAAAGGGAGAGGGAGGGGAGGGGAAAAGGGAGAGGGAGAGGAACAGATTTGTTGTTCCACTTAATTGTAGATTCATTGGTTGATTCAACCTGCAGCCTTGATATATCAGGATGTTGCTCTAACTAACTGAGCTACCAGGCCAGGATTAAGCTAACGAAGTTAGCTTGGAGGCGGTTAGTCATTCCTTTCTTCCATTCATGTGTTCTTCCATACTTTTTTATATGAAACACTCATTCTCAATTTGGGACATCTCTTCCACTCAATAAATTCAACCACATTGAGAATCTATTTTCTGGTACAACTTGAATCTTTATTCTTTAACAAATACCTGTCTTTTAAAAATGTTAACTTAAAACAACACATTAGTATAATCATGTGGTGTGATTAGTGGGTAGATCTAATCACACCATGTGGAGGTTTGTGATAACCAAATATGACAGACTCAAGAATTGTTTTATTTTTGGTTTGTAAGAAATTTACCCTTGATTAGAAGTTGGTTTGGTAACTTACGGCTTTTTTTTAATTGAGTTATTTGTAGCAAATCTCTTCACTTTCTAGAGTATAGTTAATTGTACAGTTAAAGGAACTTTCTGAGGTACTCTAGTTTAAATATTTACCCAATTATTAATATGAGGAAACTGAGAAAGGTTACGTGAATTAGCCAACTTCACATACATAATATTTTCTCTTATTTGTCTTTCTCGCGGATTCTTCACTATTTTCTGTGTCTCTTCTATGTAAACACTAAAGCAGGGAGGAGTAATGCTTTAATTGGTAAGATTGGTAAGGAGTTACCATTTCATAGAAAATACCATCCTCTCAATTTCTAGGTCTGACCCCCATCCCAAAGGTCATGGAGAAGACAGTTAGCTGCATACCCATCACTTGCTGCCAGGGAGACCCGGGCAAATGGCCACAGCAGATACTTTTCATATTGAACCTTGTCCTTCTCTTTTTCTGTGTGCCTTGCCTACATCCTGGCAATCCAGGGCCTAGATTCCTGATGTCGCCTCTAGGTTTCCTTCTCTCAACTAGGACTACCAGGCACTTGCAGGGTAATATGCCAGCCAAAGGAAAGCTATGTCATGATGAGGTAAATGACTGCCAGTTTGAGCCTTTAGGACCCATTTTTGTTTTCAAAATACTCATGGTTAAGTAAATGAAGTTTTGATTTTGAGACTGAGTAGAGAAGACCCTTTTGGAAGGATAACTCTTCCTGGCCCTCTTTGGATATTCTAGGCTGTTGCGTCCCCCAAACCCAGTAGGTAAGGATAAGAGTCATTTTCTAAAACGCTTCAGACTCATCTCATGGTTCTTCATGTTTCTTGGTGAAGAGAATGCACATATTCTCCCTAAGAAACATGATAGTCTATTAAGTTCTCCAAATACATTTTAATAATGAAAATGTTAGCTAAGGGATTGCTTCCAAGGTTGAGTGACATTTGGCCTTGTAAGAATGAGATTCATTGGCTAGAGTTATCCTTTTTTATAGTATTCAGGACTCTGAATCTCATCCATTTCTTCTCCAAAAAGGAAACCCAGCAGCAGGTGAAAATTATCTCAATAAATAACCCACTGGTTTTTCTGAATGCAAAGAAGTTTCATGCTGATCTAATGAATATAATCCAAAAAGAACGTGCCAGCAACCAGCCATTTGATGATACCAACAAGGTAGGATCAACTGTTTCATTATGATAATGTCATGATAACCTTATATGACCATACTAAAAAATGTATCACATCAATATAATACATTATAAAAGTGTACAGAGACCTCTACCTCAGCAAAACATTATATTGTATTATGATTTTTATTTGGTTTTTACAGTTAGCTCTAGGGTAATCTCTCACTTGTTATTTGTTTATTCATTCATTTATTAACTTATATATACTTTCATTCAGAATATATCTAATGGACATGCGTACTAGGTACTATAATCTTGAGAAGAATCATTAAAAAATCACTTAAATTAGTATAGTTTCTATGTACCCTACACCACAGTTTCCTCTACCTTTCATTAGTGTGGCATATTTGTTGCAACCAAGGAGCCAATATGGATACATTATTATTATTAAAGTCCATGCTTTATTCAGGTTTTATTAGTTTTACCTAATGTACTTTTTTTCTGTTTCAAGATTCCATCCAGAATATCACATTACATTTAGTTGTCATGTCTTCTTTGGTTCCTCTTGAATGTGACAGTTTCATAGACTCTTTTTTGGATGACTTTGATGGTTTTGAGTAGTACTGGTCAGGTGTTTTGTAGAATTTCCCTCTATTGGATTTATGTGGTATTCTTCTGACTGTAGGCCTGGGAATATAAGTTTGGGAAGGAAAACTGTGGAGATGAAGTGCCATTTTTATCACATTATATCAAGGGTCAATTTTTATCACATTATATCAAGGGTTCATACTACCAACATGAGTTATAATATTGATGTTGACTGACCTTGACACCTGGGTGAGGTAGTATTTGTCAGGCTTCTCCACTCTAAAGCTATACTCTATTTCCGCCGTTGCCATACTGTCCCCTTTGGAACCAAGTCTAAGTGCAGTCTATCCTTTTTTTTCTTTAAATATATTTTATTGATTTTTTACAGAGAGGAAGGGAGAGAGATAGAGAGTTAGAAACATCGATGAGAGAGAAACATCGATCAGCTGCCTCCTGCACATCTCCTACTGGGGATGTGCCCGCAACCCAGGTACATGCCCTTGACCGGAATCGAACCTGGGACCTTTCAGTCCGCAGGCCGACGCTCTATCCACTGAGCCAAACCGGTTTCGGCGTGCAGTCTATCCTTTAGGAGTGTGGAATCACTATTTGCCTCTTGGTGGTTGGAGTATTTACATAAATTATTCAGAATATTTTGACATGGAAGATTTCAGACAGGGTACTGTTAAGACCTATAAAAGGAAACATACATCCATGAATGCCTTTCATTAGCTGGTCCCTTTTATTGGGCTAACTTAATCATCACCAGCCCCACAATGTAAAATAACCTGGTGGAAATTATTTCATACCTGTCCGAACCAGACTTAAAATATATAAGCTGCACCACTGAGTATCTAGAAGGGAAAATCATGAGATCTTCTGTAGTCAGCCTGTAAGATGGAAACTGATTTCATGGGAGAGAGAGCATAATTTAGCAGTTTGTAGCATGGGGTTCAGGATGTCAAGGCATGAGCTCAGGTTTAGCTTTGTGACTTTGGTCAAGTTATTTTTAAACTTTCCAAAATTTAGAAAATTTTCAATTTTTTATAAAAATGAGATTAGTAACTTCAAATGATTAATGTAAAGTCCTTGGAATATAGTAAGTACTCAAGAAATATCCATTGTCACCATTAACGGTAATAATAATTAGTAATACATTTTTTTCAGAAGTGGCTAGCATGCTATCCCTTTAGGGCATCATTTATAATCAATGTTAAGTTTAATTATAAAATAGAGTCATTTTCTTTCTTTAGAATTTCCATAAATCAGGAATGTTTCTCAGCCATTTCCATGGATCTTCTGATGAACAGTTAACTTTTGTATAATATGAAATATATGGTTAGTGACTCTCTCTCAAAGAATGCTGTGTTAATGAGGTTACTTCTGATTGGATATGCTATATGAAAGCATACGAAAATATTTAATTCCTGGTCAAAATCAAAACAAACTTAGTCTTGCATAAAATATTGTAAACAAGATAGTCTGAGTTGATAACATAAAGTATCTACTGGACAAACTTATACTTAGAGCTAATTATCATTTTATTATTTCAGTTTGTTGTATTTATCATTCTGAAATAAACAGACTATGGAAAATACATATTGAAGACTAGTGTTTTGTTACTTATAGAGAAAAGAATGATGTACTTTTTTTCAGGGAAAGAAGTAAATTTTTGAAATGTCCTTATTCTTTATATATGTTTTCATTTCAGTGTGAACAAAACTCATTGCTCAATTCTCTGTCCAATGGCAATTGCATTGGTGAGTCAGTTTTTTTTTAATAAAGACCATTACAAACTTTTGAACAATAATAGATACAGAGGCAGAGCTGCCTCAAACTGATTGTCAAACTGCAGTAGGAAGGCCAGGGAGGGTTGGGGGACAGGAGGGAGGGGAGTAAGAGATCAACCGAAGGACTTGTATGCATCTATATAAGCATAACTAATGGACATAAGACACTGGGGGGTAAGGGAGGGCAGGGGTTTGTCAAGGGTGGGGGGGGGGGAAAGGGCACTTATGTAATACCCTTTGTAATACTTTAAGCAAAAATAAAAATAAATAAATAAATAAAGTGTTCTGACTTGAATATAGATCATAGAATGATATCTTCTTCCCCTTCTCCTCTCTCTCTGCCTCCCTCCTCTGACCTACTCCTTTTTCTCTTCTCCCCATCTTCCTTTCCCTCCATTCTGTATCTCCTCTTCCTCTTTCCTCCCACTTTCTCCTTCTGTTCTTCTCCGCCTTCCCCTGCTCAGTCCTTCTCTAATAACTTTTCTACATAAATTTTTGGACTATGAATTTTGGGTTGTAGCTTATTTTGAAATACGTACTGTGTTGTGAAAGACACGCCTTTTGTTAAGAACAGAGCTATATAAGTAGATGGATAAGAAGAACTTGACTGATTTTGGTAACAAATTGTGTCATCACTGTCATTTTAAGAACCGTTGCTAAAGATGTCAGTAGAGCAGCGGTTCTCAACCTGTGGGTCGCGACCCCTTTGGCGATCGAACAACCCTTTCACAGGGGTCACCTAAGACCATCTTGCATATCAGATATTTACATTATGATTTATAACAGTAGCAACATTACAGTTATGAAGTAGCAACGAGAATAATTTTATGGTTGGGTCACAACATGAGGAACTGTATTTAAAGGGCCAGAAGGTTAAGAACCACTGCGGGTAAGTCATTTATACAATCAAAGCCATTTGTTTTTTGAAATTACTAATTATTTTCTTTATGTTTAACTATAGTATCCACTTTAAGCAGTAATGTGCTGGTAAATCTTTAACAAACAACTCTTGGGGCAGAGGATATAATATGGGGTGGTGGAGAACTGATCTGTAGCATTTGCCAATATCCATGGTATAAATAATTCTACTATGGCTAATTTCAAGTTACCAACAAGCTATTATTAAACATGTAACTGAGGAAATATGAACACAATTGACATATTAAAAAGATGTCAAAACAGCTGGTGTGAGTTGACTTCAATCCACTACTGCCTTTAAATACATCCTATACATTTTATTTCTAAAACAGATATGTTGAAAAGTATGTGCATAGGAACCCTTCAAATATAGAACTCCATGGAAAATTGCAAATATGATTACTCTTACTAAAACTATTTTTATATTTAACTTGGTAAGAAAATTATCTATTATATATTATATATATATATCATATAAATATTAAACTTTTCTAAGAAAGTTTAACTAATGTTTAATTTTTAGGTATTTTTAAGCTCTGAAAATTCAGTAAAATTCTTCCAAATTAAATAAAAATATACTTATGAATCATAAAAATATGCAAGGAAACACATGTCCCAGATTAAGTAATGTGCAACTTATTTAATATTGATCGAATAATTCTTTTACTATAACTCTAAACAAAGTGGAATATAGTATTTATAAACTAATTAATATAGCATCAATGTGTGTATATGTATGTGTGTGTGTGTGTGTGTCCGTGTATGTTATGAAACTAGGAGATAAAATGGATAAATGCAAATGTTTGTCTTTGCTTGGGATACGTATTTTTCTTTTTCCTTTGATCTGGATTCCCTGTTATCTCTGCTAATGAGCAGGGACAGGTTATATTTGAGAATATAAATAAAAGCCCTTGCATAATAGAGGTAGGTCCTCTGTTTAATTCGGCAAATAGTGCATGATAGTGATTGCTGGTGAGAGGTCAGTGGATGAACTATATTGTGGTTACTTCCCATTTTGTTTAAGGTTCTAATTTGACATTTTATTTTTTTTAAATATATTCTTATTGATTTTAGAGAGGAAGGGAGAAGCATGGCATGCAGTAGATGCTCAATAAATGTTGGTTGAATGAGAGCAGGAGGAGTTTTAGATCTGTCTGTCATCAGTGTTCAGTTGAAGCTATCCATATGATTGGAATGCTTATATCTCCATATCATTTCTATTTTTTGAAAGTATATATATCCTTCAAGACTACTTTTGCATGCAGTCTTCTTAATCTCTCCAAAGAGACCTCCTTTCTTGTAAATTCCCGTCTTTTTTTTTTCATTTTAAATCATGTTATTTATCTTTGCCATTCATGGATAAACTCCTAGAAGGAATAGGACCTTCCTCACATTTGTACCATTCATTACATTTAAAAAATTTTTTTGAACATAGTATATGCTGTTATTTTCAATTCATAACTATTAATGTGATCTAAAGGTGAAATTTGGAAACAAATCCTATGCCTAAGTAGCAATTTTCAATATGTTAAAACCACTTTGTAGCATTTATCTTTTCCTATCAGTTACTATTGTACACAAGTGTTCAGTATTTATTTTATATTTTCTGCTTGCCTGTATTTTCCTCTAAGCAGCAGTTTTTAAAAACACACAATTTCCCTTATACTTCCTTTCAATGCTAATTGAGAATTTACCATATTCCCACTTTGCTATAGCTACCATAAGGAGAAAAACCATGGGCATTTTAAGTGGCAAGTGATTCCAATGAAGAATTCATTTTTAAGAGAACTTCATAATAATTAGTCCATTGGAACATACTTAACTGACTTTTGTCCTCTTATGGTGAGAAAATCTTAGCCTCCTAGATCTGCTTGGAGAGCCTCGGAAAGGGCCTGTCATTGTTCTGGAAGTATGTCATTTCCCACAAGGAAAGTGTGGCCTTTAGGACATCAGTGAAAAAAGTTCATGAACTCCTATGTAAAAAATTTTATTTTTCCCAGCAGGTGTTTTCAGAGGCAGATTTCCCAGGAACCCAGTGAAACTTAATTTTCAGGGCTCCTCGTTCAGATCCTTCCCAAGGCCAGCAGACAAGCTTCCGCGATGAATATTTTCCTTAAAAGTCTGACTCCAAAATTGTGTAAGCTCCAGGCACAACAAACAGGCCTCTGCTTCTGGCCACACCCAGGAAGGAAACTGAGGTTGTGGAAAGGAGTCCTATGCACAATGGCTTCGGGCTTCGATTCTAGCCCATTGGCACTAACTGGCCAGATCTTTTATCAAAAAGATTGTTAAACTCCTGAGCTTCAGTCCGTCTATCTGCGGAATGACACTGGTAGTTAACCTCTCCCCCATCTTCTTCTCTGAGTTACACAGTAATTACCTGAAATAGCCTCTGAATAACACAAAAGCAAAGATTTTGGAAATAATGAGCAATCAATTGAAAATGTAAAGATTAAAAAGTGTTTGGAATTAGTCTCATGAAACACGAGGCCGCTGTTATTGTGCCACTTTTCGACAAAATCAGCAGCAGAAATCTCGAAGAATCGTCCTAATCTAAGTCCTACTATGTTCCTCCCACAGAAGAAGCATCACAGCCCTGCCCAGAGAAGAGGGCGTGCTCCATAGTCCTGGACTGCAGTGGTTTGGCCTTTTTTGACTCCTCTGGCGTCTCCGTGCTGGTTGAGGTATGGACACAGGGTGTGTGTGGACTGAGCCCTTCCTTTCCCTTCAGTAACAGGGTTTCCACCTTCGACTCTCAGCTCTGGGGCCTTGACTCTGCTTGTTTCAATTCTCACCTCACCCACTCTCTCCCAAGGACATAGACCTTGAGGCAATAGTTATTTCTTAAAATGGAAATAATATCATTGCAACTAGGATATGTCTTCGTCGCAGCCGTCCTGAAAGAAGGTCACAGTAGAGGGCCATCATTATTTATTTATTTATTATTTATTTATTTATCTATTTATTTATTTATTTATTTATTTAAATTCTTTATTTATTAAGGTATTACATGTGTCCTTATCCCCGCATTGCTCCCCCGCAACCCCCCTGGTGTCTGTGTCCATTGGTTAGGCTCATATGCATGCATACAAGTCCTTTGGTTGATCTCTCCCCCTTCCCCCCTTCCCCCCTCCCTCTCCTACCTTCTCTCTGAGGTTTGACGGTCTGATTGATGCTTCTCTGTTTCTGGATCTGTTTTTGTTCATCAATTTATGTTGTTTATTATATTCCACAAATGAGTGAGAGCATGCGATATTTATCTTTCTCTGACTGGCTTATTCCGCTTAGCATAATGCTTTCCGGGTTCATCCATGCTCTTCCGCCTTTTAATAACATTTCCTGGATTGCTTTCTTAGCTGCTTTAGCATAAGAAACATTCTCCTAGGAGTTAGAGGTTGAAGGAAATGGAAAGACTTCTATTTATTTTTATACTTAGGACACTGGAGAGGTCAACAAACTACAGATTATGTCTATCAGCATCCACATCACCATGGCACTGTGTTTGTGCTTCACTGAGCTTCTGAAAAAGTTAAACACTGTCAGGTCACCTTGACTTAATCATTTTACCTTATAAAAGCAGGAACCATGTATTCCATGGCCAAGCCTCAGTTCATGTATTCATTATTTGTTTCATTGTTTGTGTGTGTGTTCATGCTCAGAGCAATATATCTCCTAGTCTGCAGTTCTTCTAACACAGACCTGGCTACTGCTGCAAGAATACAAGGGAAATTTTTGGATGTATCACGCATAATCTTAGAATGTGTTTAGTTGCTGCTTTCTATTTTATATGTATGATACATCACTATTATGTAACAAAATCCATCCTACAGTTACTAAAACTTCTAGATTTACTGGCACTGCTGGGCTGATTTTCGTCTGGGTGAGTTTAAGATCAGAGCCTTCAATATCTTGTTCCTATTTGAGCTTTTCTTGGACTTATATGAAGCAAGACCTTACAGTGTGGCAAGTACATCATTTAGGTTCTCTTATCTTGATGGATCCTGAAAATGGAAGTAGGGCAATCGAACTTGGTTTCAAGTATAGTGGGGTTCTCAACTTACCATTCAGGGGTGGGATTTCGAGAGTCCATGAATATGCACAAATTGTACAAATATTAGTCAGCTGTTTTATAAATGGGTCCTTAACTTCCAATAAAAAAAATAAAAAAAGGTTGAGAACAATTTTATATAAATCTTATAGGGAAGAAAAGGTAATTAAAAAAAATTTTGGAAAATGTCAGCAGACAAATTTATTTGCATTGAAGGTAAAATGCCCTGATGCATTCCTCTTTGCTAAGACCGTCTCTTTGTAGAAGCCTGCCAGGGTATGCCCGGCTGTGCAGCAATACCGCCCTCTGGTGGTCTGACATCATAAAAATTTCTTCTTTTGGCTGGAAATTGTCCTCGCTCCTGAAGCCCTTGTTGTCCCTTCTTGCGGGCTATCCTGCATTAACTGTGGTATCCTATTTTAATTCTTCCAGGTTTACAGGGACTGTCAGAGCAGGAGTGTGGATGTATCATTAGCCCATTGCACAGGTGAGAAACGGAAAGTCCTGGGCTAACATGACTCCTCGAACAATTGAACGTGATCCTAGCTGCTATGTATACCTTATGTCGCTTGTGCTTTCTTGTAGCTTCCTTGGTAAAAGCCATGCAGTACTTTGGAAACCTAGACTCAGAGAAACCAATTTTTTTTAAATCAGTATCTGCTGCCATAAGTGACATCCATTCGAATAAAGTGAGACAAGTAAGTCGTCCTGCTACAGTTATAAGAAAAATCAGAATGTAAAATCAAGGGCTTTGTATGTTTAAATATTAGCTTGTTATTCCACTGGCATCTAAAACTCCATTAAAATGTGCCCCCTCGCAGGCCTCTATCTCAAGTAAAGAAATGTTTCCATTCCTTTTCTGGACCAGTTATGAACATTATCCAATAATTTAAATTTTCTAACAGTATCATGGCATAGAGGATTTGGTGAGCACCTATTCAGTACAGACTGCTAGCTTGCAGAATAAATGCTTCTTTCTTGCAGGATCCACTATCCTGGGAATTTGAATCTACTTCTGTCAAATAGCAAAACTCTAAACATAGCATTATAGCTTTTTTCCTGCTCTGATGCCCTTGACTCTACAAATATTGCCATCTTTGGAAATAGTATCTAGAAAGCCCAGCACTCACACTGAATTGTCCACATTATCCTCCAAGTACTGGGCTTTATGATTAGTCTTAGGACTGTTCCTAGAGCTCTCATTTCCTGTAATTTTTCTCATCCCTAGACTAGAATTTGGTGCCTCCCAGAGTCATTCCTATTATATTCTATCAGAGCTGTATGTATTTACAAAATAATAACATGACTACTACTATTATTACAATGACCTCCTAACATTCATCGATCCAGGAATATGCTAAGAACTTCACCCATATTAATCCACTAAATTTGCTACGAACTTATGAGAAAGATACTATTATTTAACCTATTTTTTTTAGAAATGAGGAAACTGGGTGGGTGGGGTGAAGGGAACAATAGTAACAGTATGGTGATTAATGGGGGAAAGGAGGTGGGGTGGTGGAGGAGGGTTTAGGGGGGATAAATGGTGATGGATGGAGGCTTGGGGTGGTGAGCACACAATAGAGTGTACAGATGACGTGCTGTGGAATTGTGCACCTGAAATCTGTATAATTTTGTTAACTAGTGTCACCCGAATACATTCAATATAAAGGGAAAACAAAACAAAACAGAAATGCTCCATCTGGGAGATGTGGTGAGAAAGAATAAAATTGTTTTATCATGATGTCCTCCCAAAAGAAATAAAGAAATAACATTTTAAAAAAACAAACAAAAAACGAGGAAACTGAGGCCCAGGGAATTCTACCATTTGTAAGTGATGGAGCCGGTTTCAAAGTCAGCACTCTGGTCCTGACCTTGGGGCTTTAAACTGCTAACTCTGATGCCTCGCAGGCTTTTCCTGGCTTGGCTGGAAGCTTGCTTCCATTCCGACTGGTTTTTTTTTACCTGGTCAGCAGCCTGTGCTTACTGCTTCCTTTTCAATTTCAGAATCTGAGCAAACTCAGCGAGCAGAGTGAAGTCTGAAGCCCCGTGTGCTGCAGCACAGATGTTGCTTCAGCATCTGGCCTGCGGAGAACATACGCCAGCGTTTTGCACAACCTGTTCCGTCATTCAGATCCTGCAGAGGACCTCTGCTGCGGTCCGTACAGTGTGACTTGTTAGCCACAGAGTCCCTGGTCGAGATCTGCTATCACTTTTTCCCTACTTTTTGTTAGTAAGCAGATTCACTGAGTAGGTTATTTTGTAGTTATTTTATAAAATGGGTATGCATTTAGTTTTGGTATACTGAAAGGTAAACATGAATGTATTTCCTTTTTTCCTGGTATTTTGTGTTATTTTATTTCTCTTTTGTTGTCAGTTAATTTGTAAAACTGAGAAACATCTTGTCATCAGAGACTTAGAACATTTGCAAACCATTTGTAAAAATCCAGGATCTTCTGTAACTAATATACAAAAACAAAATTGCCATTTTCCCTTACAAAAAGCACACACAATTAAATATCTATTTTATGTGATGGGATATGCAATTTTATGTGATGTGATATGCAAATCACAGAAAATAAGTCAAACAAAACAAACGACACCCCAGCAACCATTGTTCTCCATACCTTTGCATGCACGGCGGTCTTCAAGGATATTGTCCAGATGACCAGTACCCCAATGGAACCAAGTTCTTCACGTGACTCACTTTTGCTCTGAATATTGGAAATGATTAGGAGATCGTAAGACCTGATACCCCTAATTTCCAAATCCCCACTGCATAAAAAATCTGTTTTCAGTTTAATTTTTATTGGAGCCCAAGAATGTGGAAGTTGCACATTTTATATTTTTTCACAAATATGATTTTTAGATGAGAAAATACCACAGGTAAGTATTTATAGCTTTGTGCTATTCTGATATAAGATTACAGTAGTTTGAGACTTTCTTATTTCAGAGACACAGTCAATCCTATCTAATAAAGAGGGAATATGCTAATTGACCCTCACACCATCGCAAAAGGTGGCAGCACCCACAGCCAATAAGGAGGGAATATGCTAATTGACTACCCCGCCCTCAAAGATGGCAGCACCCACAGCCACAAGATGGCCAGCAGGGGAGGGCAGTTGTGGGCAATCAGGCCAGCAGGAGAGGGCAGTTGGGGGGGACTGGGCCAGCAGGGGAGGGCAGTTGGGGGTGATCGAGCTGGTAGGAGAGTGGTTAGGGGGTGATCAGGCTGGCAGGTGCGTGGTTGGGAGCTAGCAGTCCTGGATTGTAAGAGGTATGTCCAACTGCCTGTTTAGACCCGATCCCACAGGCAGTCGGACATATCCTAAACCAGTAGTCGGACATCCCCTGAGGGGTCCCAGATTGGAGAGGGTGCAGGCTGGGCTGAGGGACACCCCCCTCCAGTGCATGAATTTCGTGCACCAGGCCTATAGTATAACATAATACACTTATCTCTATATAGCTATATATGTATGTTTTTATTTTTCTTTTATTGTAGGAGAGCTTAGGTATGTGATTATCTGTAATCCCACCAACCAGCAGAGTAATTGACAAGCCCCAGAGGCCAGGCTGACCTGTATGTGTTATTGTTTCATTTTTGTTCATATAGTTTTATTCACATGTAATTACATTGGTGCATATTTTTATCCAGCAATTTGATTTACCTATTAAGAAGTCTCACTTTCACCCGGCCAGCACAGCTCAGTGGTTGAGCATTGACCTATGAACTGGTAGGTCACAGTTCAATTCCCAGGCAGGGCTCGATCCCCAGTAGGGGGCATGCAGGAGGCAGCCAATCAATGATTCTCTCTCATTAGTGATGTTTCTCTCCCTTCCTTCTCTGACATCAATTTAAAAAAAGTCTCACTTTCGAAGAGTCAGTGCCAAACATTCAGGATGTAACTGCAGTGAGAGTTCCCCACTTTGTTTGGTGTTGTGGTTCCTTTTGTTTTGTTTTCTTTTTCTTTTTTTTTAAGAAGAAAGAATATGAGGTTACTCCAAATCACCTAAATGCTCTGTAATGATGTCTTCCAGAGTACTCATTATATAAAAGTCCTCAGTCATTTTCTATTGATTCAGCAACAGGAAAAAGGTTATTTTGGTCAAACTGATGTCCTTTCTGTCCTAATAAGCAAGACCAATCTCTCTAGTAAGTGTAGAAAGCCTTTTAGTATCCCCCCCCCCCCATTTGGGGCCTCTTTATGGCCACATTTAGAAATTGACTAATGAACAAGTCTATTAAGCATCTCTGCTTAAGAACAATTGTTACATTAAAAAAATGCTTCAAGAATAAAATAAATAAAAATAAAACCAGAAGTTTATCCTTATTTCCTGTGCTTTTAGAGCTGCCTTTTTGGACCCATCTTAGTTTGAAGCAATTGCTGGCCTTTGTGAAGCTAGAGAAGTTAGGCAAGTCAGAGCCTCTTTTAGACTGTCATGTTTTCCAAACCAGCTTCCCTACTTAACTCCCATTGCTACACTGCCCTGCACCTTGATTTATATCTCTCGGGAGTTCCAAGTGCTCATGCTCTCTATTTTCTTAAATTTTAGGTAAGGTCCCTATATTTAAGTAAAGATACCTTTGCTTAGGCTAACGAAGCCTGAGAGAGTGCAGTGAACACAAAGGTTGGGGTGAGGAAAGAAAGGTTGAGGATAAAGGCAGGTTTGCAGAGGCCACTGAGAGTCTGAGGAGAAGGTTGGCATGATGAACCCTTTAATGATATGATTTCAGGAGTCTCTAGATGTCTCTAGCTGTCTCCTGAGTCCAAATATTTACCTGACCATTCTTTCTAGGGGCCTGGAGTTATCATTAGTCACTCGGGCAGGAGTAAATATTATAAGAAAGGAAAACACACATGTAAGCTGGTACCATGCACTGTGTTAGCCATAGGAAGCACTGGTTCATCTGGACAGCTTATAGAACACTGGCATCAAGGACTCAAGAAACCAAAGCACAGAAGACATTTGAATGAGGAAGGCTGGTTAGAAATGTCTTTGGGAGCTCAGGGCGCTGCCGAGGGTAAGGATGAGAATGGGGGTGTGGACCCAGCTGATGTGGCTCGGTGGTTGAGTGTCAACCTATGAATCAGGAGGTCACAGTTCGATTCCTGGTCAGGGCGCATGCCTGGGTTTTGGGCTTGATCCCCAGTGTGGGGCGTGCAGGAGGCAGTCGATCAATGATTGTCTCTCATTATTGATGTTTTCATCTCTCTCCTTCTCCCTTCCTCTCTGAAATCAATAAAAATATATTTTTAAAAACGAAAGAATGAGAATGTGGTACTGGGAGGCGGGCTCAGGCCGGCACCCTTGGGAGGGCAGGGGTGATGTTTGGGATGCAGGCTGGCAGCTAGGCCTCAGGCATTCCCTGGATATCCAGTGTTCTCCTTGTCCCCACCCTAAAGACACAGACACGATGGAAGTGGGGTTTGTGAAGCTGAACCCAGTTTTCCCACACAGCAGCTTTTCCTTTTTCTGGGGCTCAGACCCATGCCTTTGGCTTTGGCTCTAGAATTAAAATTTGAGAATAGCAGTGTGACTGCCAAAAAAACGGGATTGACATGTCACTTTTATCTTGTGTAAACCTTTTCATTTTTTTACTTGCCCTTCTCCACACTGCTAATGAAAATATTGAGGTAGTCAAGGTCCCACTTAACATAGAGCAGCGGTTCTCAACCTGGGGGTCGCGACCCCTTTGGAGGTCGAATGACCTTTTCACAGGGGTCGCCTAAGACCATCGGAAAACACATATATAATTACATATTGTTTTTGTGATTAATCACTATGCTTTAATTATGTTCAATTTGTAACAATGAAATTGGGGGTCACCACAACATGAGGAACTGTATTAAAGGGTCGCGGCATTAGGAAGGTTGAGAACCACTGTTAGAGGCTTCATCAGTGAAAACCAATCACATTGTGATACAGCTTTCTCCTAAGTCACAGTAAAAATGTGTTCCATATAATCATCTGCACCACAATCACCAGGTGTATTTGTGAAATATGCAGATTCAAGCACCCAGTGCAGGACTTAGTGGGTCAGAACCTCTTTGGGGTGGTTTGAGGAATAGGGATTTTAAAATACCGCTCCACTTTAATGTTACACCTCAAAGTTCGGAATCACAGTCACAGAGGCTTTTTAGTCTGCTATACGAAGAAAGCCCCTGACCTCTCATTCTCAGGCACATATGTGCTCAAAACCAGTTTTATTTGGGCTTGTGCATCGGTCACAACGCATTATGGCTACATAGTAGATCTGTGATGCTAATGTTAAGTGACCAGAACTAGGTGTATAATCATATCACATGGCCAAGGACCATGTAAAATTCACCCATAGCTTTTGGTGAACATGAGTTGGTTGGAATCAGAAAATATCTGAAACATACGATTCGTATTCATATATTCCTGAGTGAACTTCCCCAGACTAGAAGTTTGTGTTGATTCTCTCTCATCATGGAACATGTCAGCTTCCTTCTTAGTTTACAAATGTTTACTGTCGCTGACCGATACCAATGCAGTCACATAAGGAAATGGTCCTGCCCTCCAGGTTCTTCCTCACGGACATCTGTTAGAAGCACGCCCTACAAGGGAGAGATTTCCCTGCCAGCCCGAGGCTCCTCAGGTAATCATTTTCCTTCAATGCCTTCCTTGAAATTGCTCGTGTGATGCTAGCAGAGTGAATTCTAGTTAAACCTTTTATTGTGCACAGATGGAGCTGGGATAAAGGGAAGGTTTCAGCAATATCGCTCAGCTACTTTCAGTTCGAGGATTGAGGCTGATGCAAACCATCATAACTAGAGGGAAAAATAATATTCAATTATGAATCACTGCCAGATGTGTGAATTCATGTCTTCAGGTTTCATTTTTCTGAAATATGCTTACTGTAGCATATTCTTTGTCTACTTTGTGAGTCTCTTTCTATGGGTAATGAATTTAATGGCATTAAATGTTCAGAAGATCCCAAATTAAAAAACTATGGTTGCTGTGTCTGCTTAATCCCTTCACCTTTTTCACCCAGCCTCCTAACTCATAGACAGACAACTGTATGGTAATTAGCAGAGGGAAAAGGGAAGGCAGGGGGTTGAAGGGATAAAAGGGTATAGATAGTGATGGAAGGAAACTTGACTTGGGGTGGTGAACACACAGTGCGATATACAGGTGATGTGTTATAGAACTGTACACCTGAAACCTATTATTTTATTAACCAATGTCACCAAAATAAATTCAATAAAAATTTTAAAAAGAAAATGTATATTTGGACTTTCTCTCATAATCCAAAAAAGGAAGCAAGAAATTGATCTAAAGGGAATTCATGTAGCAATGTTCTGTAATCCA